GCATGAATCATCTCCTTTTCTTCCCTCTTCCTTTTCTTTTCCTGTCTCCTTTCACCTTTTTTCTCTTTCCTCTTTTCTTTTAATGTGGTTTCATCATTTGATTATAAATAATTAACATTTTACTATGTTTTATTAATATTATTGTTACTATTATTATTTTATTGTAGAGAAGGTATTGACCACTTGAAGTTTAATTTGATGTATGATCAGTATTACGGTCAAGGGGTAGAATAAAAACAAAATTCCAATTATGCCAAGCTTTCGACCCAGGCTTCAAGGTCATCATCAGGGCCTATGTTTTCCAACAAATTAACAATTAATTAACGGTTATTTTGTAAAAACAGACAATTACCAATTTTTGACACAAATGTTTGTTTTTATAAAATAACTGTTAATTAATTGTTGTTAATTCGTTGGAAAATATAGGCCCTGATGATGACCTTGAAGCCCAGGTTGAAAGCTTGGTAAAGTTGGAATTATGTACTTGTACTGATCGTACATCAAATTATTATATTACTATGTTTAGAAAACTAAATTTATTTCTAATTCTAATCTAATGGAGCTTTTTTTTTTTTTTTCATTGCCGATTTGTAAACTGTGAGTGAACTGTGTATTATGTTCGAATGTTGCCAGCATTTCGTTAATAATTTCAATGTCAAAAAAGTTAATAAACAACTAAAGGTTGTACTTTTTTTCTATTTTATTTCACCAAAAAAGTAAATTTTAAACATAACACAATACCTATCAATTCAAAATTGAATTGGTGACACAATTTAAAAATTTCACTCAGCTAATAACACTTGTTTTGAAGCCCCTGTTGAATTAATGCTATTGTCATTGCTTCCATTCACATACAAAGCTGGAGAACTTTACTGCCGAGCTAAGCTAATTAGATAATACCATACTTTAATGTCGCCCTTTGATATGGACATGGTCATTCCGCCTGAAGTGAATCGCGAATTTCATTTCAGCATACTTTGTAAATCTACATCACCTTCTCAACACCCCCCTGGGGGGAAAAAATGCTCCCTATAGATTAAACGGAAAATATTTAAACAATTCACTCTTTACTTGCTAAGAGAAATTATTTTTAAAATACTATATTGGGGAGAAGTTTCTCAATCACTTAACTTATAAATTTCGACTTCACTCATTTCATAATTTATTTGCATTAAAGGTTCTCAACATAAAAAATCATTTTTATGCTAATCCGATTGCAATCTGGATAAAGCAAAAAAAAGTATAATGCTGACAAGTTTAAATTATTTATTTTATTTGCTCAAGCATGAATATTCCTTAATAAAAATATTTAATTTAAGCAATATAGATTTTAATTTTTTTCGTAGCGCTTTTTATGACTGAATAGTTAATATTACATTAGCCTGGATAAACCTTGTACACAATAAACATCTATTGCATCACAAAGACCAATTATTTCCTCCTTGATCAATGCGCTTCATAATTAATTTTAAATGCTCTGTAGTAGCACAATTAATTACAATGCTTACTCTTAATGCTGAATAATTTATCATGCCTCTAATTAACTCACTTTACAAATAGCCGCAGAAAAGTTATTTGTTTTATTAATTGAAAAAAAAGTTTATTGAGAAACAAGAGCAGTAACAAAAACGGTTAATAAACGGTTATTTACGTTATTGTATTTGAAGATTGAAAGTTAAAAGGATGCTTCTTTTCATAATATATCTTCAAGTACGAAATAGTTTACTTTAAAGAAAGTTCCACTGTACATAAATTTCCATGGAAAAGGTAAACTATATTAATGTGAAAATCAATCAAACTATTTTTATGACATAAAAGTGAAAAATGATTAAACTATTTTATGACATGAATGTCTAATGTGAAATCAATAAAAGACTAAATTCAAGGCCTGAATCAAGTATTTATTTCCTGTTTGAATTTTCTTCAAGTATATGTGAAGCAAACATTGTAAAGTCTTCTCACATCCGGTTCAATGTAAAGTCCTCCATATGATAAGAATTAACAGAATTTTTTTTTTGCTTTAGTTAACCATCAACAGATTTTTGAGAAAGTCTAAGAAAACTTATTTTTAATTTCACAAAAAGGAATGTATTCTGGCTACTCATATCTCAATATGTGCTTAATTCACCGATTTTTAAATGCTTGAAATATTGACCTGCTGTGCATAAAGGTGTTGATATATTTTGTAATTTGGCCAAGGGATTTTGCTGCAAATGTTTCGATTTTTGCAGAAATGAGTGTAACACATACTATTTTGTGCAATTCCTGGATTTTCACATAACGAGGAGTAGGTCGCTAATCGCAAAAATTAATTTTGCATAACCTGAAAGTTTTTTTTTTGTTTTATTGGCTTTATGATCTTGCATATTAGCCATAGTACGAATTCTTGCGTGTTCAAATTGGGGGTTATCGGGAAAAAAGGGCCAGAGGCGACGGTGGGAATCGAACCGACGACCGCGGCGTGAGAGTCTCTCATGCTAACCACTCGGCTACCGCGGTCCCCAACCTGAAAGTTGTTGGTATTTGTTTTGCCAGTGTAACATCATGGTTTACAAGATATAGCAGCATAGGCTTTACCACATTCATATAAAAAATATTTTCTCAAAAGTAAAAATATTTACTCTTGAGCTGTAAGTTATCCTTTATTATAAGTTAAGACCTTAGTTACAAGTTATCGTTACCCTCCTCTTGTAGAACTCTTATTACTTCTTAAATTATTAATCAACTGAAAATTAAATAAACTAATGATGTAATAATTAATTTTAAATTACATAGTCATAGTACCTGGATTAATTAGAAAACTAGCTGAAATCATTATAATTTTCATTTATTTTTTTCATGCATGAGGTTGCCCTAATCTTTGCTGCCTTTTGTATTATTAATAGTTCACAAACATACACATCTACATAGTTTTGAAACTTATAATTTCATACTGAATTTCCAAGCTGTGACGGAATGAGATCTAAAACCTGTCCATTAGGTCACAAGTCACACAAAAAGGAGCAAAAATTTCATATTGCCCTACAGTGTATTTTTTCCATAAATAAAAGTCCAGAAAGTGTCGAAACTTATGACTTCAGCTACTTTATAATTGTGCTGGTATATTTCAGTTTAAGTTCTTACTTCTTACTCTAATTTAAATTTATGCACGCCTTTTGATATTTTGTTATCTCTAGTGGTTGGTTTAAGTAATACCCGATATGTCTTAAATATGTCACGATTCATTTATAATTCGTCAATATCAATGATTTTGGTTTGTCTATCCTCACTGGTTTAGTCTGCATATTTTGCCCATGTGGGGCAATGTTAGGAAATGAAATGACAGAACACGTCTGTCAGACCGAACCAGAAACCACTCATTAATCTCACAATCTAATTTTAATTGTGAGATTTCTCTGTCTGATCTGTGGGGTGAACCTGCAATTTGATTATTACAGATTATCCTGATCTGCCTATCATCGCTGTGTTGGTGTATCAGATGTCTCGCATTTCGAGTGCTGTCTGGGTGATTCACTGAAGATGGCAAAATGTCAAAACGTGTGAAAAACCAATACAGAGAGCAGGCAGATAAGAATGAACAATAACCAAATTACAGGTCTGCCAGATTGTCCTTAATACTAACATCCAAACTATTATATATCAGACGTAAATAACAACAGTAATAATGTATAAAAAAAATTATGATTTTGTACTAAGGAAAAGTAAAAGGCAGTTGGTATTATTACCAGCTATTCCTTTGAAGGAGGGGGGGGCAATTATCTACTATGGTTATTTTTAAATTACATAGTTGGCCTTGCAATTTACTACGATTATTTAGCATGTTTCTTAATTTGGTCAGACCTCTTGCGTCATACCACTTAAAATGGCTTCTTTTAAAATAGGTTTCTTCCTTAACCAAATCCATTGGGAAATAATTCTACATTCAGAAATAATGTTTAACGGTACAATAGATCAGAAATATTAATAAACAAATAAATAAACAAAATGCATTACTATCATGAAGATTTTCATGCCTCGGCTATGTATAGAAAGCATGTAAGCACAACAAATTTTCTGGGTATTGTTCCAATTTTTAGAATGGTCTTCTGATGCATCCGTGTTTGTGGTTGACTCCTTGTTTTTTATTTTTTAAATAAATAAAAATATGTATGTGAATGAAAATACTTATTAGTTTAATGTTCAGTTTGAGTGCTGATGCAAAATGTCTAATCCTTCAACAGATTAATAATCTGCAAATATGTAGTAGTAGTATGTACAATAGTACTTAGTTACTGTAGAACCAGTACCCTACTTGTATGAATGGCATGCACATGTAATAAATAATAAAAAATTTAAAATAAAAAAATGTATTTAACAATATAAGGGTGAAAGTATGTTTAGGTTAAAACTTGCATGCATTGGAGGCTGAAATAACATAGATGCTAACTAGTGGTCAGAGCATACAAGACATAGTCTAACCCTTTACTAAAATACCAAAGATGATCATGGTGAGCTATGAAAATTCTAATTCCAGTGACTAATAAAATAACATTCGCTTAAACTGTGCATAATTTTTGATTCATCAACAAAATATTTAATACAATCCTGTCATATAAGCAAGACTGAAAAATTCTAATTGTTGGAATAGTATTTTCTTGTAATTTGGTCGTTATCATCCATGTTGGCATTTCGCCATCTTCATTGTTTAGTTTTATTATTTTCTTTATAAGATAATTAGCACAAAGTAAAATCAAATCAAAATCTCCCATATTTTATATAATCAAACACCACAACCAAAACAGAATATCTATCAACAAATTAAAATAAATAAACATTAACAAAAAATAACATGCACAAAACATGTATTATATTTCAAAACAGATCAATAATAACAAAAATAAACCATTGATCAATTTCAAAAACCAAAAATATAATAATATTATAAATAACTATGGTCAGACTATAAAAACAACACAAACACATACAAAACTAAAACTATCTTGGAACAAATTAAACACAAATAAAAAATTAGTAATAATATTTAAATATATAAGCCAAGCCACTTTTTACCATACTTATTAACAGAATAAAATTTTATTTATAGGTAACGATTAATAAGTAATATTGGTCATTCGTAGATTCTCTTTAAAGCACGTTTAAAACTTCTCATTTTCAGCTCTTGCCTGAAACAATTTTATAACAATTAAATTAACAATAATACTTGAGTTTTAAGTTTTAAGATATTCCCAAATTAAATTCTAACTATTCCATTCATTATTTAAATTGTCAATTTATTTAATGATTTAAGATTTGTTAATTAAAGACTCAGCAAAGTTCAAAATTAGTAACTAAATTAATGAATAAAATAAACAAACTGGCAAAAATCCAGCAAAGAGGGAAGGTGTCCAAAATTTAAAGGCAACAAATGGTTAAACTTTTAAAAAAATATATATTTGAACAATTTTGTTTAATTTAAATAAACCAATTTCATTTTTTTTAACAGCATATCACATTTCATTTTGGAATTTAAAAATATAAACTTAATAAACTTAACTAAATTTTCTAAAAACTATATGTTTAATACTGTAAAAATTGCCAATGCATTATGAAAAAACATACTGAAAGGATACGTACAGTAATAATTAAAAAATAATATTGAAACAAGTGCTTCACAATGTTAATTATTTGAATCACTAACTGACAAGAAAAGAGAGAATGTTATTTTAAATAATTAATTATCAAAAAGTCTCTCTTCTGTACACATTGGCAGCATTACAAAAATAAATAAAATACATGAATATATCCAGCTGTATAAAAACTGTATGTATATAAAACATACATAATTATTTTAATATCAACTACATGTCATTACTGTAAATTTATTGTAATTTTTTTACAGTCACCTTTAATAATAAACCAGCTGCTAGACCCAGCATTATACCAGTGGTAAATAAAAAGCCTCCCTTCAAGTGCTTCAAGAGAAAGCCTATACCAAAGTCCTGGCACATGAGCAACTGCATCAAAGACAGTTTCTTTGCGCTGTAAGGCGGATAGCGGCCACTAAAACAGCCGATGATTAAAATTGTAATTATTGGCTAATCGCTAATAACAAGATTTACCTTCCAAGCTTGTCAATGAAAACATTGAAACCTTTCGATAGACAGCTTTTGTGGTGAGAGAATGTGTCGAACGAATGTTTGCCGTGAATTTTTCCGATCCCACTATCACCAACACCACCGAATGGAAGAGCAGAAACTAAAATCATATTTAATTTTTTTTACATGAATTATAATATGGCATAACAGTAATTAATGAATGATCGATTAGTTATATTTTTATAACTTATATTTTTAACAACACACATTACACGTTTTCTTTCTTAATTTTGACACGTACACAATATACACATCAACCAATAATGAAGATAAAGCGTATACAAGAGGATTTTGGTCCTAACATTTGCATGTTTCATTTATACATTTAGAAATTTACACTCTCAATACATATGCTTTTAGCACTAAACTTGTATGGTAATGCATACATTAGCCTAATGGCCCTAGGAGGTAGCCTTGAGGTGGGTTCCAGAACGTATATAAGGAAATTAGCCAAAGGAGTAGCCCTCTTGAGACCAGAATAACCACTATGGGAGTTTAGTTAATTGTAGTAGGTTAGTTGTTGTTGGTATAATTAACTGAAATTAAAAACAAAAATGTACTGAGTTTATTTTTAGAACTCCGCATGAAATCTTGCTGAGATGCTACTTGATGAGACAAATGTGATGTCGAAAATGTTCCTAATGAATTGTTTTAAAAAAGACTGGTAGTTAAAAAAATTCAACAAGCCTACTTACTGCCTCAAATATTCTAACTTAGTATTCTGTAGTCGAGAAACTTCATTCTTGATTATACAGCAGGAAAAAATGCAAATAAAATAATCCAATTAACTAACACCATAATATCAAGATTGTTTTATAGAAAATTAAAACTATAGACTTTTTATTATTAAAACCTACCTCCAAATTGTATCAATGTATCATTCACAACAACAGAACCTGTAATTGTATTATTCAATAATAAATCCTGAACAGTTTTGTCTGTTGTAAAAATATAACTGCTCAATGCTCTGGGCCTATAAAAAAAATAAATAAACAGATAAAAAAAAATTGTAATCATAATAAAAACAACTCACATCTTATTGATAATTTCAATGGCTTCGTAAACGTTTTGAACCCTTACGATGGGTAAAATGGGTCCAAATATTTCTTCTTGCATGGCAGGATCAGTAAGTTTAACATCGGTTAAAATAGTAGGAGCAATATACCTATCTGATGATAACCATTTACCTCCCACAGCGACTTTTTGTGAATCAATAAGCCTTATTAGCCTACTAAATATCATAAACTATTATTAGTATAAGTTTTTAATTAATAAAATAAAATACAATAATGCGTAAAATATAATAGTGTGTAAAATAAATAAAATAAAATATAGTAATGAATAAAAATGTCAAACTCACTTGAAATGTTTGTCATTTATGATCCTACCATAATCATTAGATTCGATAATATCTGTTCCATACCATTCTTTCAAAAGCTCTTTCGCTTTACTTACAAAAAGTTCTTCGACCTTTTTTGTACAAAGTATATAATCAGGTGCTATACAAGTCTGTCCAGCATTCACAAACTTTCCCCACAAAATTCTTTTTACAGCTCTATCCATGTTAACTGTGTCATCTAAATAGAGCGGGCTAAAAATTATATGTACATTATTAACACAGTTGAAAAAACAATATTCATTTCTTTCTTAAAAAAAGATACCTTTTTCCACCTAATTCTAAGGTGACAGGTGTCAAATTTTTCTGAGCAGCTGCATAAATTAATTTTCCAATTTGAGTTGAACCAGTGAACATGATATGATCGAACTTCTCCTCTAAAAGCTCAGACATTTCTTCAGGCCCACCAGTAAATACAGGATAACACTCCTACAAATACAAATTTCTCATTACTAATCTAATATCTTCTATAAAGCATAAGCATAAGACAGATACTGTATCGAGATATTTCGGGACCAGCTCAGCGATGACTTCTGCGCAATGAATAGCTATTTCTGATGGTTTAATGACCACACAATTTCCTGCTGCTATAGCCCCAATTAAAGGTGTCAGAGTAATATTTAATGGATAATTCCATGTTCCAATTACTAACACCACCCCTAGAGGGTCTTTGTATATCTGAACCCCATCAAATAAAGTCAACAAGTTCTTTTCAACCTGGAAAATTTTAAAATTACAAAAAAAATCTGAAAATTTTATTAACAAATAATTCTATCTGGTGAAAATAATACAGATTCAGGTTTCATCCAGGATTTGAGATTATTCAAAACAAAATGAAGCTCTGTTTTGATAAGATCAATTTCTGTCATAAATGACTCCATTGTGCTCTAATAAACAAAAAAATGTATTTTATTAGACTGATTTTGTTCAAATAATTTGGCTATTTCATGTTAAATATTATTTGTTTGAATACTTTTCTCAAGTCTTTGTAGAGAGCATTTAAAAGACTTCCTTCATTTTCTTGAATCAGAAGTAACAATTGTTCCAACTGACGTTTCCGAAAATCATACGGCCTGGTCTTACCAGTATTAAAGGCCTCCCTTGTTTTTAGCATCATCTGTAAATCGCATTCAATTTTCAATGACAAGATGCATGATATATTTATACATATATTCTTAAATAAGTCCGTAGTATTTTTGAAAGTAAATTCAATGAAAATTTCAGGTAAATATAAACAAATTTAATCAAAAATATATTTTGTTCTATCTGCTGCTTAATTGCTTCAATTGTGTGCTCAGAATTAAAAGTTTGGTTGGGGAGAAGAATATTAAAGCACCTCCTTCCAATCCCAGCAACATTCTCTTCTTGAAGATCAGTCCTTAAATAGTTAACGATTGCTACAATTTTCCCAAGATTTTCCTCTCTGAATATCATTTTAAATGACCTACTTTTTATCACTAGTTATCAATCTTTTAAAAAAGGTTCATTTACATTGAGTTTTAGGAGGAAATTGCAGATGGAGATGCAGTCCGATAAATTCTCCTGTCAACGTATGAGGAATTGGTATATTGCCAACGCCAGTCGTTTTTGGTCAATTGCTGACTTTGATCGATCCAATCATGCGCAGAATAGAATTGAATTAAAGATTGGTTGGTAGGATGAAGTTGATAATATCCATCCCCTTCCAATCCCACCAAATGCACATTACCTTGGAGATGTAATCCAGCATTTGGTAGCTGTGTTTTCATGAGGATTTTCCTCTCTGAACATTATTGTAAAGAACAGTCTTTTTTTTTTTTTTTTTTTTTTTAAATCACAGAAAGACAGATAAAAATAAAAAAAAGGACAAACCCACTTTTTATCTCTAGTTATCAGGTTTTTAAAAATGGGTCGTTTACATTGCATTTTGGGGTCGCATAAGGAGTTGTGAGCCAATAAATTATTCTCAGACAACCGAGCCAAACCCGTATATTGCTATGACAAACATATCTAGCTGTTCTCAGATATCGTGAAACGCTGATTTTTTAAGTGTCCCTGTGATGTCTTAAGTCATTGAGTTATTTTTTGACAAAAGCTTGAATTTGGTCATTATCAATGGTTAAAGTATGACCAGACTGGTTTGGCATCTTTCAAATCAAAATTTCAGCTTCTGAACCAAACAAACCACTGATGGTGCTTTCCCTTAAAGCGTAATCATATTACACATCACAAAATTTTCTTAGCAGCCTGATCTGTAGTTTTCCTTTATGATAAATTAAAAAAAAAATTAAATGTTACACTAAATTTTCTTTACATTTTAAATGAAGAGAGCATTTTGTTAAAATACCAGATCTCAAACAAAACTGACGGATAAAACACCTAAACTAATCCCTTTTCAGAGTATTAACAATAATGACTAAATAACTATTGCTTCTAAACACTTAAGAGATAAAATCAAATGATTGAAAAAGGCTACGAACTTATTTTACAACCCAAACAATTATAAGTCGGAGTGTAATTGTTAATTTTGTACACTATGAATAAAAACAGTAAATAATGGCTGGAAAAATTTTTAAAGTGTCTTTTCATTCTGTAACTATGTTTACAACTAACATGTTAACTATGTTGGCAATGCATCAGACCAGCGGCTCCCAAACTTTTTATATTTCCGAAAATTTTTGCAGCACTCTTATAGCATAACCGCAGAACAGAGTTTGGGAATCACTGCATTGACGATGAATTTTATATTTTAATCGATAAATTGCAATACTGAGCCTCACAGAAATTGTTTATATAATTAATTTAAATATAGACATTTAAATAGTTTTTAATATATTTGTTTTTCACATTTAAAACGCCGAGAACCCTGCCTTTCGGGAAAACGTCCATATAAACAAATTAGGCTAGTTGGCCTTAAGGCATATTTTTTATTTTTCCTCATAGTTTAAGGTAAAAAGGTAAAAAAATAATGAAGACTGCTGGCTGATCTAATGCATGAAGTACAAAATTGCGTTTTATGTAACACAGATTTTTTTTAGGAGTTTCCTGTTTTCTCCCAAAATACTTTTTTTTTTTAATTTAATAATAAAATAAAAACTGACGTCCGGTCTATTTGATTCACTGATGTGAATGGTTAAAAATGAGGATTTATATAATAAACAATGGGAAACAATGGGGTATTTAATTTTAATTGCTGGTAATTTGAAGAAGAAAACTTTCTATAAAAACTGTATTGATAATACTGATCGAATTATATTTTTAACCTAGAACAAACTAAAGTACAAAAACTTACAGATTTGATGTTTGTCATGATTATTAAATATTGTCCACTTTGAAAATAAACAAGTACTGTTCGTATCTGTATACCGCCCTCTTATGAAGTGCGACTGTATACTGTAAGTGTATAGCTACAACTGACAACTGCAATGACTGGCCAACTGGTGTGTTTGGTTGATAGTGGAGCCAAGTAGAAACAGTGCTCTCCACCAATCCAACCCAACCTCGTGGAAATGTAACATAATCACTGAAGAAGTGGCAATTTAAATAATGTAATGCTTGAAACCTTGAATTTTAAAAAATGTATCGGATGCGAGGTAAGAGCAGGTGCATATACTATATAAAAAAGTTAGTTTTATCGATTTAAAAATGTGTATTTAAAGTAAAAATTCTGGAGGGAGTCAGTGCCTGTTCACCTTTTTCACCAACTGTGGCTATGATTAAAAAAAATGAAATCTCTACTTGATCAAATTACCTACACTGTAAAAAAGAAAAATCCAAAGAAAATAATATAATACAAATAATGCACAAAGGAATAAAAAAGAAGGACAACAAAACAAAAAGAAAAGTATTTATTTTAAAGATACAAATAGGGCTTTAAGTCATGTGGACATGTTAATATACAAAAACTACAAACTTTTGTAAATATTTAATATACCTATAAACCAAATATTCACTGCTTGGGAAAATGACATTATACAGTTTTCATTATGCCTTTTATTTATTTATTTATTTTTAACTTTAAAACTCCCAACTTTAGCCATTTCCTCGTTTCCTGTTATATTACATTGAAACATGATAATTTTTAGAATACATAAAATTCACTGTATTATAATATTACTTTTCTTTCCAAATATTAAATTATCTAGTTTAATTTTCCCAGAGATAACAGCATTTTGTCTATAAATACAGGTTTTTCAAATTGAATTCACCCGCTTTTTATATTAAACTCGGCCTTTTCCAAACTACATTCACCTTTTTCCTAATGAAATTAGCTTTTTGTAAATTAAATTCGCCTTTTTGCAAATCAAATTAGCCCCATTTTTCAAAATTAAATTTACCATCTTGCAAATTAAATTCCCTCTTTTACCAATTAAATTCATCCTTTTTTGATTTATTAAATTCACTCTTTCATTAAATTATCTAATTTAATTTTCCCAGACATAAAAGCTTGTCTATAAATACAGGCTTTTCAAATTGAATTCAACCTTTTTTTATATTAAACTCGGCCTTTTCCAAACTACATTCATCTTTGTCCTAATTAAAATCACTTTTTGTAAATTAAATTCGCCCCTTTTTTCAAAATTAAATTTGCCCTTTTTTAAAGTAAATTTACCAGCTTGCAAATTAAATTCCCTCTATTACCAATTAAATTCATCTTTTTTTTAAGTTACTAAATTCACTCTTTTATTAAATTATCTAATTTAATTTCCTCAGACATAAAAGCTTGTCTATAAATTCAGGATTTTCAAATTGAATTCAACCTTTTTTTATATTAAACTCGGCCTTTTCCAAACTTCATTCCCCTTTTTCCTAATGAAATTAGCTTTTTGTAAATTAAATTCACCCCTTTTTTTCAAAATTCTATTCGCCATTTTTTACCATCTTTCAAATCAAATTCACCCAATTCAATTCAAAAATTAAAATTTTTTAATTTACTAAATTCACTCTATTAAATTATCTAATTTAATTTCCCCAGACATAAAAGCTTGTCTATAAATACAGGATTTTCAAATTGAATTCAACCTTTTTTTATATTAAACTCGGCCTTTCCAAACTACATTCACCTTTTTCCTAATTAAAATCCCTTTTTGTAAATTAAATTCGCCTTTTTTTTTTTTAAATTAAATTCGCCCTTTTTTAAATTAAATTTACCAACTTGCAAATTAAATTCCCTCTATTACCAATTAAATTCATCTTTTTTTTAATTTACTAAATTCACTCTTTTATTAAATTATCTAATTTAATTTCCGCAGACATAAATACAGGATCCGCTTGTCTATAAATACAGGATTTTCAAATTGAATTCAACCTTTTTTTTATATTAAGCTCGGCCTTTTCCAAACTTCATTCACCTTTTTTGTAATTAAAATTACTTTTTGTAAATTAAATTCGACCCTTTTTTTTAATTAAATTTGCCCTTTTTTAAATTAAATTTACCATCTTGCAAATTAAATTCACTCTTTTTTAATTTACTAAATTCACTCTTTTATTAAATTATCTAGTTTAATTTTCCCAGACATAACAACATTTTGTCTGTAAATACAGGTTTTTCAAATTGAATTCACCCGTTTTTATACTAAACTCGGCCTTTTCCAAACTACATTCCCCTTTTTCCTAATGAAATTAGCTTTTTGTAAATTAAATTCGCGCCTTTTTCAAAATTCTCTTCGCCATTTTTTACCATTTTGCAAATTAAATTCCCTCTTTTGCTAATTAAATTAATTCTGTTTATTTTACTATATTCACTCTTTTATTAAATTATCTACTTTAATCTTCCCAGACATAAAAGCATTTTGTCTATAAATACAGGTTTTTCAAATTGTATTCACCCTTTTTTTTATATTAAATTTAAATATTTTTTTATTAAACCTTTTTTCCACTTAAGCTATATTTACAATGATATGTTTTCTGCATATTAAATTTCTTACAAACAAGTTTTGGGAAAAAAGAAAAAATTCTTCTCTTAATTATTGCATAAACAAAAATATTGAAAGTAAAACTATTGTTAACTACTCCATAAAGCCTATTTTCTCATTTTTATTAATGTATAAAGAGTGTATTTTTTAAGTAATAATTCCCAGTTCACTTTTATTTTAGTCAATTCACTTATTAAGGAAGGTTTAGACTCTGTCCAGAATTGTACAAAATATTCACAGACGGCTCAATTTTTAGAAATGAAACTGGGTATATTATATGACCCACAACTTTCTCAACTACACTGATGGACAAATTTACCGCACCATCAATTTATTTAGTTTAAAATTAAATCCATGACAATTTTTTTAATAACTAAACCTATTTTTGGTATGCAAAATATGAATAAATTTTAAAAATAAATAAATTTTTTAATAAATTTTTAAAATAAATAACTTAATTAATTGTAATGTATTAATTGGTCAAGCGGACCACGAAATTAGTGAAAATAATATGAATAAACCTAAATACATTAAAGTTTAGTTTCTTAAGTTAACCATTTTCTCTGTACCTCCATTGGCATTCTCCTCTGCCTCCAGCGGCAGTTTGTGGGTCTGATGCTATGGGCGATGTCGTGCCACTGATCATTGGTGGGATGTGGGAGGAGCCCACACATGCACATCTACTTTGAGATCAGTAAAAAATTGTCTATAATAAAAGTATGTAGTATAACATCGAAAGCAGCCTCATGACACCGGACCTGGTATGGTGTTAGGAGAATACAAAAAAGCAGTGGACTAATAGCAAAAGTGTACTACGTTTGGTCAAGGAAATAGGACATTTTTTAAACCAATTGTAATTTAGAAATCCAAATATGTATATTAAAGCATTTATCTTATTATCTATTTATCTTATTTATTTATTTATGTGGTACATAAACAATTCAAAATATAAATTAGAAATCCAAATATGTATATTAAAGCATTTATTGGTTAAATGATAAAATAATGTTGATTGCATAATATAAAACAATATAATATAACAGTGTTAATTTAATTTAGACATTGCTAACAAACATCTTTGTAGCTAAATTAGATTTATTTATTTGTTTATTTATTTATATGGTACATAAACAATTCAAAATGTTAAGGTTGAAAGAAACCAGGTAATCTGTAGTAATTTAGTTTAAAAGATGGAACCATCGAATACCTGATTTCTCTCCACCTTAATATTCTATCTCGCTGTAGACTCAACTATGAATTTAAAATATTTTCAGTATTCTGTTTTGTCGTTGGTATATTTTGTCTGAGACGAGAAGAGCAGATTCGATCATTTTTTTCAGTTCATCTGTTATAGGTTTGTTGTGATGTATTGCAATCCAGTTTTCTGATTTTTGAACTGGAAACCCTACATGTTTCAGTATTTCTGCACCAACTGCAAAATCCAAAGGGTCGGTTGGCTTCATCCTACCAGATCCCAGTTTCCAACAGACAGTAGCGATCAACTTTGCATTGATGCTTTTCACCCAGCCTGAATTTTAATTTCAGATCAACAGTCTTAAACTAAACATTAAATAATAAATTACCTGTCTCTGGAGCCTTGAAGTAAGTCTTATGGTTGGCCGTTGGTATCACCTTGCAAGCATCGCCATAGCAAATTTCATCTGCGACCCTTTTATTGACACCTTGTAGAATCATCATTTGGTTAAACTTTTTCAAAGCCTCACCATTTGTAAGCACTTCGTGAATTTTTTCTTTCCCTTCTTTGACAGAACACATACCACATAATTCGAGCAATTCACCTCCTACCACATATAAAAATTATTTATTTGCAATCCTTGTAAATATTACACTTTATTTTAATTGTAATGATACCTAAGCATTCTACCATTTGTGACAAATCTTCTGAACCTTTCCCTTTCAAGCATTCTACACTTTCAATCACTTCTAAACTATTTCCGACATTAAAGCCAATCGGATTAGACATTTCGGTCACAGCACATTTCATTGAAAGGCCTAATTCATTTGCAACTTTTTTCTAATACAGATATAATTATTAATAATTAAAGTTACACTAAAGACAAATTTATGAGAACAAACCATTTCAACAGCAGCCTTTTCTGCTTCCTCGACAGTCTTGAACATTGCCGTTTCGCCTACTTTACAATCAATTATCAAATATTTAGTTCCCTCAGCCAATTTTTTAGATAAAATAGAACCTAAAGCAGAAATGTTTAAACTAATACAAACTACATTATATAATTTAATGCATTATTTTTTATTTATCGTACCAATTACTAAGCCAAGACACTGAACTGTAGCAGTTACATCTCTTATTCTGTAAGTGACTTTATCACCAGGGCAGATATTTTGTGTAGTAGAAGACATAAAACAGCCACATTCACTAATGCTCCGTTTCATTTCTTCTTCTGTCAATTCAACATTATATCCAGGAATACTTTCAAGTTTATCTAATGTCCCACCAGTGAGTTCAAGCCCTCTTCCAGTCATCTTAGGAAAAAGTTTCAAAAATTAAAAGCATCATCAGTCGTCCTGATTGATAAACTTACCATAGGAACTTTGAGACCAAGAGCTGATAAAGCAGGGGCTAGGGGTAATGAAATTTTGTCCCCAACTCCTCCGGTGCTGTGTTTGTCCACGGTTAACCCATCCCATTTCATTACATGGCCTAGTGTTGAGTAATAAATAAAAGAAACAAAGACTGGAATTTGCACTGTTACCTGAATTCATCATAGCCTTTGTCAAATAAATTGTTTCCTTTTCTGACAACCCTCTAATGAACATAGCCATGAGCATTGCACCTTAATATCAAAAAATAATTATGTTTTTTAGTCCATGGATTGCATGGACTTTTTTTTATTGCTTTACATACAAAATTTATACATTTATCAGTATGAACAATGCGGTAAAGATCTGCCAGGAATGGGAGAGTAACCGACCATTGCTGGACTCGCAGTAGTTAAGAAAGTTGTTAGTTTATTGGTTTAGGGTTGAGTTAGGTTACAATATTTTTAGGTAGAAAATTGTTAGGGAGTATAATGCTAAGAGAGTCAAAGCTTCAAATTCTACCCCCTCTTCTCTCTCAATTTCTGCTGGTGTACCTCAAGGCTCCATTCTTGGACGTTTTCTCTTTTCCATGTTTATAAATGATCTTCCGTTAGTTCTTAATTTCTCCCAATTTCATCTTTATACAGATGACACTCAGTTTTACATTCAATGTCCTACAAGCAACATCTATGAACCTTTCTCTCTGCTCAACTGTGACTTTATTCTCTGAATCAGTGGTGAAGAAATAACGGCATTCTTGTAAATCCTTACAAATCCCAGTCCTTATTATTGTCCAATAAACCCATTAACACAGAATGCCCATCTCCCCCTCATATCAATAGCTCTTCTATTAATTTTTGGCTTAAAGTTAAAAATCTATGCATTATTTTTTTAACTCCAAGCTTACTAGACCAATAAAAAGGTCTACTCAACCCTCCATTATCTTCAAAGCCTTAGCTTTTTCACTCTACAGAAAACTAGAGTTCTCCTTATTAAAGTGTTATTTGTTCATTTTCTTTTCTCAATCTGCTGATTGCCTTCAAATTCTTATAATTCCTGTTTGAGATAATATTATGATCTTAAATCAATAGTTCATATTTCTTCCTATATCAACGTCTTGAGCAACCTTAACATTCCGAGCACTAATCACATCCCAAGCCTTCAACACTACTCTATATCTTTATCCTTATCCTTTAGAATTGCAGGGACAATACTGTGGGATTTGCTTCCTCGGGAAATACTTTCTGTTTCCATGCTGGCTTGTTTTATGTCCATCGTGCCAGAGTTTTAAAAACGGCATGAATCATCTCCTTTTCTTCCCTCTTCCTTTTCTTTTTCCTGTCTCCTTTCACCTTTTTTCTCTTTCCTCTTTTCTTTTAATGTGGTTTCATCATTCGATTATAAATAATTAACATTTTATTATGTTTTATTATTATTATTTTATTGGAGAGAAGGCATTGACCACTTGAAGTTTAATTTTTATATATGATCAGTATTATGATCAAGAGGTAGAACAAAAACAAAATTCCAACTATGCCAAGCTTTCAACCTGGGCTTCAAGGTCATCATCAGGTCCTACATTTTCCAACAAATTAACAGTTATTTTATTTTAAAAAAACCATCAATTACCAATTTTTGGCACAAATGTTTGTTTTTATAAAATAACTATTAATTAATTGTTGTTAATTCGTTGGAAAATAGAGGCCTTGATGATGACCTTGAAGCCCGGGTTGAAAGCTTGGCATAGTCGAATTTTCTTTTTATTCTACCCTTTGACCATAATACTGATCATACATCAAATTATTATTTTACTATGTTTCTAACTTTTTTTATCGCGCTGTAATATATTAAAAAGAATTTTTTTCTGTAGCATTTTTGGGTACAAATATATTTACACCATTTATAATAATTTATTATTATAATTTTCATAATGAGAGAGAATATGCGTCATCTCTTATAGCTTCATTCATCAATAAATTATTAAATTGGGTTGCTGATGTTATGCTTTAACACCCATGGATGCATTTTTTTTTACCTAGGTGATCGAAAATTATATTATACATCATACGGTAGATTTAAAAAAAAAATTATATTCGAGTAATTTGAACATTTTTATATGAGTACGAGTCTATTACCTATTTGACAATCGTCGATTATTCGGTTGGATGCTGAATTTATATAATAAACGATGTCATCGTTGTTCAATTCGAGCCCATCCCTCTTTTTCTTCAAGATTTCCACAATTTTACTCATCGTTATGGCCCCTCTTCTCTATGACCAGTTGGAGTTTGACACCACCAGGCCCAAATTGTTATCTGCTGGGCCAGTGTATAGTGGGGGGCTTGTATACTTTGTATTTTGTACTTTGTAGTGGCCTGTACTGTATCCCACATGGTGCAACACACGGCAACACCGGCTTTTAGATAAGTGTGCACACGCTACCAAAACGTGTCAAGGCGTCGGGTAGCATCAGGTATCGTCGTATCGGATAGTGTGTTCCAGGAATCCCGGCTATAGGGGTGCCGAGAGGTCACACTATGCAATATGCATATCAAGAGGCCCACATCAACACGTCAAAGTGCGCAGTAGATGGGTTACTGGGCCGACATTGTTCGTTGTTTGTGTTTCCGACCAGGTTTCTGTCAATAACATGTAAATAGCAATACATATAATAGTTAGCAACTGGCCATGCTGCCAGTATGATGCTGGGGCCAAAGGTCTGTCCAACTGTTGGGCTAGTCCTAGTGTGGCATAGTGACCAATGCGTTAGTTTGTCATGGCCCATAGTGAAGAGGGGGCCAAACGTGTGTGAATGCCACTGTATTAGTACATTTTACAGTGATCAAACAAGTGCTACAATATGTACAGCAGAAGACAAAAGTTCCGATGTTCTTAAATGTTCGAAATTGTTATGAAAAAATGTACAATTACAAGCTGGTACAATTAACAAACTTAATCAATAATTGTTTTAAATATACGTAAATGTAAAAAATAATGAGCCTTTTTTTCCAACTTAACTATGATCCAAAACGTGTGTCGACATGTATTTTATAATGAAACAATATTCTCAATAAAATGCATAAAATACTTGCAGAATTGTTTGTTGGCTAGTCATTTAAAAACACGTGATTTGTTTTCTATTGTTGGGTTAGCATATTACAAATTTGGCACCTTATATGTTCATTTTTATGTATTTTCTATATACATATCAAGGAGCAGCTCTAGATTTGATTTATTCATGATTGTTCGGTTAGTTTCTGCTATTTACACTCTATGTCCTCTGGGGACGTCTTAAAACATTTAGTTGTTGAGACTGGGTGTCCTTTTTTGTGTTTGTCTTTTTTCTCATCTGTGAAAAAATAAAAAAATAGAGAGGGAGTAAAGACTTTTATTGACTTTATTTGTGCCATTAAGAAGAATTTATTTATTTGTTGTTTGCCTATGGTTATGTGATAAAGAGAGATTGAGTAAGAGAGGGAGCAAGAGCGAGCGAGTGCAGGAGAGAGAAGGGGGCAGAAAGAAAGAAGGCAAGATGAAAGCATGAGAATAAAGCAAGGAGGACAGGGAGAGACACAAGTCAGACAGGTAGAGAAAGAGACATAGACGGACCGACAGGCAAAGAGAAATGGGAGATAGAAGACACAGCAATGAGAAAAACAATAGAGCGAGAGAGAGTGTTAGTAGATGAGAGAAAGGCATAGAAATGAGAAGACATATTTAGTTTAAGGAGAGAAAAGAGAGTGGATGAAGACGTTTTATTTATAGTCGCATAATTTGATTTAATTTGACCACTCTTACATCCAACAAGTTTTACAATCTCTCTCTTTAGAATTTATTGGGTGGATGAGAGATAGAGAGAAAAGAGAGAGAGAGAGAAAAAAAGTTCAGCCATTTTCTGTCTAGTAATTTTTCTCTTCTTTAGGTCTGCGGAGTGTTTGCTATCATGATATTGTATATTGTACAATGGGATTTAACATATATTTTCAAGTCTTTTGAATAGTTTTCTCGTGTTGAGTTGTATTAATTTTTAAGAATTTATTTATCTGCTTATTTATTTGATTATTTTAATCCTTCATCTATCGCCATTTTCGTTCGTCTGGCGTTATTTCACCTTAGCAGTCAATGTTTTAATTTTTTCTTTACCTTAGGGAAAATGTTTAGCTCAAAAACTAAAAAATTACTCAAAACATTTCTATTTCCTTCTATGAATTCAACCTCCAAGCCAATTTACAATTTGTTATTTTTAAATCGTCAGTAAACTTGTATTTGTAAATGAATAAATTCAGCGGGACTCTTGCCAATGTACCAAGATCAACTAGTTTCTCCCCTTGATTTTCCCTCATTCAGTAAAACAAAACTACATATAAAATCCTATTCTTATTTATAACTTGGGGCTTGGGTGAAAAATAAATATTGTTGGAGCATTTAGTTTTGTTTAAAATAGTAGGGTTTTTTTTAAATTAACAAGTTTGGGTATCGTTTATCGGTACCGAATCCCGATACGGGGGAGTTTCTGTTTTCATTACTTTCCCTACAGAGGGAACTTGTCTACATAGTACGTCTACATCTACTGTAAACTGTTTTTACCTGAGCTTGGCACTTTTCACTTGGCAGGCTTCTTCTGTTGGTGTTTTCTGCCTTAGAGGTTTCCGTCTTGTTCTCGCTGTTTATTCCTACGGCCGAGTACAGACGAAGGAACGCCGTTTTACGACAACGCGAAAATGTCCTATTCTGTGAATATATCAATCGAAGCTCCTGTCGAAAATCAAATCCAGGAAATATCCTACGATGGCCAGGAAATTTACCAGACGTAAGTTGTTTTATTTATACCAAACCAAGCTTATACCATACCATATACCATCACTAAGTTTGTGCTTGTTAACACTATACTACAGTGTAGTAAGTTTAAAATAATTTGAACTGGGCAAACTCTTATGCTAAAATTGTGATATCCTTCATAAAATTAAGTACTTTAAAAATAAAACCATTTGAAATATGTCACTTCTATGAGATGCCTTTAGAACGTACTTACCCATTCTATTTATTTCTATCCCTCTTGCTTCCTACTTTTTTGTTCCTTAACATCACTAACTTTCAACTTTAAGTTCCCACAATTGAAGCCAGTTCAATGGTTTGTGACAGTTTCAGATAGTTAATTAATAAATATCATAATCAATAACTTAAAACCAAAATTAAACTAAGTAAATAAACTTAATATTACTAATAATGATAAAGAGCTAGATTAAGCAGAGTGAGATCAAACCGCAGGAATCTTGCCAATAAAATAACATTTTCACAAGTCTTTAGGGATTGTTTTAACCTTTTTACGCGTAAAATTCTCCAACACTCCGAAAAAGCCATTATATTCATTACATATCAATTCAATTCATTATTTTTGAATGATTAGTGTCAAGGAGTGTAATCCACGTCGCAAATGATTAGGAACCGCCCGAACCCATTCACACGAAGTCAGCTCTGTCCAGGCGGGTGGCCGACAGGCACAAGTGCCACTTACGTTCATGTCCCCACGTGCTGGCTTAAAAGACAACTCGGCATTCGTCTCACACTAGCCGCCAAGTTTAATGAACTGAGTTCACCGTAGAAAGCATTGCAATTCCAGGTTTCAATGTGGAACAATTCATTGAAAAAATGGTTATTAGTACCACAATATGAGGAATGAAGTAGCGACAAATTTAAAAGGAGTGAAGCTTGGAGGGAAGTCGTGCGGTAGTAGTAAGAAAGCACCCGTTTCCTAATTTTGTAGCAACAGATTTTTTTTTTTTTTAAATTAAATTTATTTATTAAAACTGGTGTTATTATACCAACCATTAATTTTACAATAATATTATAGAATAAATAAATGTTTACATTCTTATAAACCCATTGGTACAATTCACTATTCACTTTTAACTACACAAGTTCTTATGGCTTTGTTCTTTTTAATCTTCTGACCATGTTTCGGTTTTGTAAGAGTTTGGTCGCTTCCACATTCTCGTGCTGGCTGAGGCGAGGTTTGGCGGCAAATCTTTGTATTTCCGCCGTGACTTCAGGGATCTTAAGAACCCTATGTAAGTCCTTATTCCTTATGTACCAAGGTGCATTGACCACGTAAGATTTTATTTTGGAGTGTTTGTATGATTTTGATATTGCTGTGTTTGGTACAACTTATATAATAATATTTTATTTTGTATTGAAAGATTGGAGCCATGTCCTATCAACCAGTATAGTTGTCTGTACCTTAAACCTATTTCTGTCCTTTTTTTCTTCACGTGTTCTTTCCATCTCAGCTTGGCATCTAAGGTCATTCCCAGATATTTAGCTGTATTGCTGTATGGTATAGTAGTTCCATCGATTGTGAGCGACGGAACATGGCCCACCTTTTTGTTTGTAAAGATTAGATGAACTGATTTATGTTGATTTAGCTTGATTTTCCATTTTTTTGTCCATTCGTTTATATTATTACATGCATTTTGGAGGATTTTGGTTGAGTGGGTCCTAGTGATATCACCGCTGTGTCATCTACAAACGTCCAATTTTTACTCCATCTATTTTCGGAAAATCACTGGTGTATAACAAGTAGAGCAGTGGACCTAATATGCTACCTTGTGGCACTCCTGCATTTATTGTTTTTAATTTTGAATATTGATCTTCTTGCTTGACTCTAAACAGTCTGTCAGTTAGGTAGGAACTGATAATATCGACATACTGCTTTGGTAGCATACCTTTTAGTTTATTGATGAGTCCTTCGTGCCAGACCTTGTCAAAAGCTTGTGAGACATCAAGGAAGATAGCAGAACAAATTTGTTTTTCTTCGAGAGATTTTTCTATTACGTCCGTTACTCGATGAATTTGGTCTATTGTTGAGTGTCTTGTTCGGAATCCAAATTGGTGGTCAGGAATGATTTTCTTTTTTTCAATGATGTGTTTTATTCGTTTTAATAATAACTTTTCGAAGAGTTTAGACACTGTTGGTAGTAGCGATATTGGTCTATATGATTTGACCTCGTTCACCGGTTTTCCTATTTTTTTTTTTATCATAATGACTTCTGCGAATTTCCAGATACTGGGAACATATTTCAGTCTGATTGCAGCATTAAATAGGTATGTTAGTTTACTATACCCTTTTTTGGCAATTGTTTTAGTATTTCACCAGTGATAAGGTCATATCCGGGAGTCTTTTTAGCAGGTAAATTTTTAATTTCTCGTGTTGTAGCAACAGATGAACCCTAAAACACTTGTTTGGATCGGTTTTTTTTTTCTTCCCTTGCAAAAGAGCAAGCACAAGAAATGCTCTAGCTTTCTCGTGTAAGATCATACCTCATGGTTTGAAACCAGAAAAAAAAAAAAATCACACAGTAAACAACTTGAGTTAACCAAGCCGCCTCATCTGAAAGGAGCCTTCTAATCTTAAATTCTCAAAAATATAATTTCTGACCATCAGTTGACTGCCATTCAACCATCCAACCATGTTATTGCATTGTATACATTATCGTCTCTTGGTCCCTTGAGTTGGGCAGTACTGTTTTGGGTCCTTTCTTGATGGCCCAAAAGTCAAGCTTTTGATCCAGTTGTGAGGTTTTCTCCTGTGGTCTGTGGGATGATAAGCCTATCGTTTGATCGATGCCTATTATTCTGATTTGCCTATCCTCACTGATTTTCATAGGTTCATAGGTTGTTTCATATGCGTTTCGGCATTTCGCCATCTTCATTGTTTGGGTGATATTTTTTCTCGCAAACACTGAAGTCGGAGAAATGCCAAAACATCAAAAATCAGATTATAGGTGGACTAGAGGGATTAGTGGCCAGTTTCCTCCACCTTCTAATCTATACTTCACAGTTACCTCTCTGATGGGGTTTTCCAAATTATTAAAGGCGATTTCCTTTCTGTTTTTCCTATCGATGCTGTGTTCCTCAGGGTAGTGTTCTGTCCCCACACTTAACCAGGTATACACAGCTGGCAAATCATTATCGACCTTTGCAGACAATGATCCTTGTAAAAAACTGTGTGTGATTCTGTAATTTCTACCTGAATCAAAACCTCATACTGCTAGAGTCTTGGCGTGAAAAGAAAAGGATAAAATTTAACACTGACAAATCCACTCGCATTACCATTACCCTCTGTAAAAAGATCGCTTCCCAAGTTGATATAAATATTTCCTTCCCAACTGCTGGGCAACGTGAACTCTACACCAACAAACATTTGACATAAAATCTCCGCATATGATTGAAACGTCAAGAAGTTATCACACAATGCAGAGCTCTCACACGACTTCTTGCTAAACGCTCTAACATATACAAAAAAAAAAGGCTCATGTAACACCTTAGTGAAGCCAATATTGACTTAAGGATTGGAAGAGTGAGGTTCAGTCAAACATTCCAGTATACTTTGTGTTCAAACTGCTTAATCCATAATCCTCAGAAAACTCCTTGATACGCCATCCTGTGTCTAATGGAACTTCCCACACAGACCTAAATATTCATATTGCCCAAAATGTATGTTGATGTTCATAAAACTCTCCCAATCAACATATCCTCAAAAATAAATATTCTGACTTAAACTCTTTAAAATAAAAGGTGCAGAGTTAAGCCGAGATTGACTTACAGACTGAAAATGTGGGTTCTATCCACTGCAACCAATCCGTAATTTTATAAAATTCATGCTCAATTTTTTGTCCAGTGAAACTATCCGTACAGACTTAATCAGCTCGTGTTAACACAAATTTAATAAAGCCGTCCCAACCTCCATAAATCCTCAACTCTAAAAATTTGCATCCTGCACAATTCTCTCAAACCCTCTACTTGTGATCTATTCACTGAAAGTCACAGAGAAAGTGACATTAGTCTGAATTAAATACACTTTAAATACTCATTGGAGTACTGGTAGTTTCTCCACTCTTGTATTAATTGTATACAGGTAGTGCATATTTCGAAGCAGCGTAGAAAAAATAATGCTCCGCCTGTTTAAATGAAGTGTCAGTTCCTAATGTCCTCCACTCTGGAGAATGTTGCATGGGTAAAGCAATATTACTGTGTAATATGGTCATTTTGGGCCTGCCTACCTAACTTGATTGTTCTGTCAGACGCATTTTGGAATGTCCCATCTTCTGTTTTCAAGTGTTTGTGTGAAAATGATGGGTAACTAATAAAAATTACATGTCACCCCAACCACACAAAAAAAATCACATAATATTAAGATGGTTTTTAGTTTTTTGCGATGTGGCAGAAAAACCTAAACACGACTGCCCCGAGTGGCCAGGAAGAGCCGTTAGGCTGTTATGCGACTGATTAACATTTTGAATCAGGTGGGAATGTAAAATTTGTTCATCACTACCAGAAATGAGTGAGCGAAATTGTTACCTACATATAATTTAATTAATATAATAAATTAAAAAAAAAAAAAAAAAAATTTCTACCTATTCAAGCTTTTTTTATATAATCCTGGTCTTGTTCACATTGGTCCTTAAAACATTAAAATTTCGACAGGAAAAACTGTTTGATGTGCTTTTTTAAATTTTATTTTCCTATTTCAGGCCCCTCACTATGTCAGAAAGCCTTGCTAAACTGGCTCAGAAAATTGATTTTAGCAAAGCTGGCTGTGAGGATCTAAAGAAGGAGGAATCTGAAACGAATGAAGACGATGTTGCAGCTAAAGAAGCTGCTTTCCAGTCGTCTATCTGGCCATGGGATTCTGTACGCAACAAATTACGGTAAATCTATTTGTTACTATTTAAATGAAACAGTCATAATTGTTCTTAAATTAATTCTAGAAATGCCTATACTGAAGTTTGTGTACTTGCCGATGTTATGGCAATCGCCAAGGAAAAGAGGTATATGGTGCTTGATCCGATTCCACAAGAGTTACACGAATCCAAGCCTATGACTCAAGTGTATGCTAGAAAGAAGGTAAAATGGATTTAATTATTTTGTGTTTGGCAGAGACATTTTTTAAACTGGTTGTAGGCGCTAGCAGGCGCAGCGTCTGTGTTGCTGACAGGAGCAGAAAGGCTAAGGGCTTGTCAGACGGAGGCAGCAAGAAACCGCGCGACCTCAGATTTCCACATCGAACTTTTGAGATTAAGACAGAATTGGAGGTTGAAGAAGGTTTCAAATACTATCATTGGTGATCTCTCATACAGAACAGCAGGATCTAAATTTGCTCAAACAGGAATGTTCGAAGTAACAAAAGCAGAAGAAGAAAGTGAAAAGGTTCAGAGCCCACCACCTTCACCTGGTGCTAACCCAAAACCAACTTCTGCTCTCCGTGTAACCGTTCCCAGCGAATTACAAGGAGTTGCTTATATTGAAGTAGTCTGTCGAAAAGGTAATTTTAAATTATTTATTAGCCTTTTCATAACATAAATTGAATTTTTTTTTAAAGACCAAGAAGATCTTTGTTCATCGATGATCAACCTTTTGGGATCTGGACCTTCCCCAACCAACTCAGATGTACACTGGCAGCAAAAACTCGAAGCTGCCCAAAATGTTCTTTTCTGTAAAGAGTTGTTTAACCAGCTGGCGAAAGAAGCCGTTCAGCTACATGCACCTATACCACACATGGTCGTTGGAAATCAAATAATGGCCAGTGTACGTAAAATACGTAAAATTTACCTGATTTCTAAACTGTTTCTATAATTTAAGTTGCGTTTCAGACATTCCCCGGTATACAACTTATCATCGGTATATGTCACACAACTGGAACGAATGCTGGAGACAAAAAGTCAGTGCAGAAAGGAGAACATGACCATGTTCTGGAACATTCACTCCATCAATTGCTGCGTGAAGTTCACCATAAAAACAGGCATCATCCCTTCCCGCATCCTTCTTCGGCACCATTAGGCCCTAGCAAAAGACGAGCTCTGGCAGGTCCGACTGCTGCTGATAGGCATTACTTAATTGAAATGACTCAAAGGTATTGCAGTTTAAATAAATTTTCAAGCAAATTTTTTCTCAACTGCCCTCTTTCTTAATTATTGGAATTTTTTCAGCCAAACACTACTTGAACAAATAATTCAACAATCCCAGCATTTCTTTTTGAGAATGAGAACTGAGTACGTTCTTGACACGATTATTAAAGAAGTAAAAGACCCTTTGATTATTACACACTGGAATGCGCTAAATTCTCCAACTCTTTCTTGTGTTAAAATTAATATAATAACTAATGGGTAAGTTCAACATTGTATTTTTATCAAATAATTATTGACTAATCTTCTTACACTACTCTAACCAATTTGATAAGATAAATTCTGCTTTTAAAGTTAAATGTGTGGTGTTTAGTGAAAGTTACTTAATGATTATTTGGAGGTCGTGAGGTGTGGTCTTGTGTGACGTTTTTAGAAAAACATGTTCTCTATTGTGCAAACATTTCAAATTGGGATCATCTTCAGGGCGTGGGATTTATAAACATTGTCTAAATTTTACAAATACGTGTAGGATGTGGAAAAAAACAATTTATTCAATGCTAGAAAATTTTAGATTAAAAAAATGAATTTATACAATGCTAGAAAATTTTAGATTAAAAAAATGAATTATTACAATGCTGGAAAATTTTAGATTAAATTAATTTATACAACGCTAGAAAATTTTAGATAAAAAAAATTAATTTATACAATGCTAGAAAATTTTAGATTTTAAAAATGAATTGATACAATGCTAGAAAATTTTAGATTAATTTATACAATGCTAGAAAATTTTAGATTAAAAAAAATGAATTTATACAATGCTAGAAAATTTTAGATTTTAAAAATGAATTGATACAATGCTAGAAAATGTTAGATTCAATTTTAAAATTTTCTAGCATTGTATAAATTCTTTTTTTCACATCCTACATGTATTTGTAAAATTTAAACAATGTTTATAAATCCCAGGTCCTGAAGATGATCTCAATAAATATCGAAATGTTGGCACGATAAAGAAAATGTTTTTCTAAAACCTACGTCACACCAGACCACATCTCACAATCTCCAAATAATCGTTAAAGTTAATAGAAGTCCACCTCTTTACGACCTAACACACTGTGGCCAATATTGGTTTATTGTGCAGTCTCCATTTTTTTCTAGAGCTCTTTATTAAGGCTAACCTATTCACTATGAAAGCTAAAATCAATTGGTTTTAATCCAAGATGAGAACCTGTAATACTCTTGATTCTGTTGATTAAAAATGCTGTAACTTTTGAACAATGAATATTTTGAAATAATCCACAGGAACCTAGCTAAAAAGCCTGCAATACTCCAAAGAAATACTCCTTACAACCAAAATGCTTTTATAATGTAAAAGAGCATGGATATTTGATACCATACTTTAGGTTGGAACAGAAAACATGAATCCATGTTTGTCATGATCAACGCATAAAACTTTCTATCAGATTTCAAAGCTTTGCCAAGGACTACTGCGTGTCACCTTGGGCTTTTGCTCTCTCAAGAGTAGGAATGTCATATGGCAAAGGCTGTCGCACCAACAGAGGACATGTTTTGCTGTCTCTTCTTCTTCCTGGTAATAATCTGTATAGGCTTGTTTCTGCCATTCTGCACTATCTGCAGTGTCCAATCAGCAGTTCAACTATTCTAGGTTTAGTTGTTTTGCCATGAGTTGCTGCTATGTTCCTTTTATGGGCTTTTTCTCATGCCTCTGTCCTGTATACAATTTTATTGAACTCAAGACTTATTCTTAATCCATTGTCTAATGGATGTACATTTTTGGCAATTTTGTATTGGTGTGATGGCTGAATGTGCCTTCATCAATTTATCAGTCTTGTGTGCCCTGGTATCCAAACAAAAGTGATTTTGTTCTCCCTAATTTCCGACATTGCAAATTAGAGGTTTTCCTTAAAAATTGAACATGCCTAACTGTTGGTCCTTCCACAATGAATGTCATAGAAAACAATAAAGTAAGTTAAAAAAAAAAAAAAATCATTTATAATTTTTCTATTACTTTTAAATAGATATGACACAATCTGTAGAACATCTCTTGTTATACAAGTAAATGAAAAATCTCTCAAGTGTGTATGCAGGGATGGCAGGGTTATTCACATGTCCTATGAAACCCAGGAGCTTCGAGATTTAATCTACTGTCAAGTAAGTTTACGCAATGATCATTCGACAATTTATGCAATCGTCATTTTCTTTAATCATAATTTTTCTTTTAGATATATCAACACCAAATATCAGCAGTCCAAGCTCTAGCAAAATGTATGGGTTGGCAGTACCTTGCTAACAGTTCGCACCTTGGAATAGGATCTGTGGAACCACTTGGTAACGCTAGCAGTTGCATCCTGGCCTCACCGATGGGTGACAGGTAATACAAAGTTTAATGTTAAAATAAACCACTGAAAATAAATTTATTATTATTTTTTTTTTTAAGGCTTATTGCCGTTCGTTGTGAGCCTCAAGGAGGTGTGCAAATCGCTATTGCTCATTCGCCCAAGAAAGACTTCTTCAGTGGGCAGCTTGTAAAAGAAAGGAAATGGGAAAACTTAGGTGGTGGTTTTAAGGAAGTACGCTGGGACAAAATGGAGGGGAGGAACTTTTTAAATAAAATGGAACTTCTAATGGCTAGTCTTACAAGTTCTTAATCGAGCAGTTTGTAAATATTTGTATTTAAATTTGTTGCAATATTGTAAATTTAATTTGTTTCATAGGATATCTCTTTTTCTTTGTAAATTTTTTTTTTGTGTAAATATTGTTGTGGTTTCTCTTTAAAAACTATCGATGTAATAATTTGTTAAATTTCTATTTTTCATTATAGCCCTGGAACGTTCATGAGCAATTCAATCAATTCATTTTAAACCTCTTGTCGGGTTGTTATTTTTAGACGGCTATTAATTACATTTACTATATAATTTGAAATCATGTCTGTGATTAATGAAATTGAAACGAATTCAAATTAGCATTAGTTTATAAAATTGTCCCATCTGCCAAGTTCCAGTCGATAACATTTATATAATAAAACGCAACTATTGTAAATAACCAATTATCTGAAGATAAAAATAATTTTTATACTTGTGTTATTAAAAAATTGAGTTCTTATTTGGAATTATTTTTCTTAATATTCAATCCTATAATCATTAAAAAATAATTATTATGTTTACTGGATTGGTTAGTAGATCTTACATAGAAATATTCTTTTTATTTCAGTTCTAATGACTTCTTCTTCTTAAGGTGATATTGAAGAACATCCAAACCATTCTCGCAGGTTCTTCAACCAGGATGTTTGTCTTCTTCCTCTTGAGCCTTTTCCTTGCATAATCAGTCATAGAATTTTGTACATTTCTCCTCTCATTACATAGCATTTTCCTTCTCGATGGACAAGACAGGTTCGCTATGAAATAAAAATATACCAGAAAGAAAATCACAATTAAATTTTGGTTTGCCCATTTGCATCGCATAATGTTTTCACATACATCATGGAATTACTAAATAACTTATTCAATTCACAAGTTTTCGTGGTCCAATTGACCAATTAATATCTTTCAATTAATTAAGGTTTTTCGTTGAGATAAAAAAGTCAGTGTCACAAGTGGGATTCGAACCCACGACCTTCGGCTTGATACACCGCTACTCTACCACTTGAGCTATCATGACTTTGATCCCCTTGGGCACTAACTTCCCATCTCAACTACACCTTTTTGAAAAAAATGGCAAAAAGGAGGGAAAATTCAAAAGGTGGGGTTGAGATGGGAAGTTAGTATCCGAGTGGATCGAAGTCACGAGAGCTCAAGTGGGAGAGTAGTGGCCGAAGGTTGTGGGTTTGAATCCCACTCATGACATTGACTTTTTTTGTCAACTAAAATCTTTAATTAATTGACAGTTACTAAATAACATTTATTGTTGGTGGTGGAACATTCCCTCTCTGAAGATGGCACTGAAGGCGAAATGCGGTGATAAATGTACCAAATAAATAATTATTCAGAAATCGTGAGATGCGGTCGATATACAAACATTGTTTACATTTAACAAATACATTTATGATGTGGAAAAGTGAATATATAAAAAATATATTTTGCATTGTATAAATTCACTTTTCCACATCCTATATGTATTTGTTAAATGTAAACAATGTTTGTAAATCCCAGGCCCTGAAGAAGATCTCAATAAAGATCGAAATGTTGGCACGATAAAGAAAATGTTTTTCTGAAACCTACATCACAACAGACTGCATCTCACGATTTCTGAATAATTATCGATTAACAGTCACTAATCACCACACATTTCTATGCACCAAATAAGTCGTCAATCAATTCAACATGATTTGAATAACCAAATTGACCCTGTGTAAATTAAAGGGAAAATTTTATGACGATCTGTTGAATCAGACGCAAATTGCCCTAAACATTGCAGTAAGCTGTGAGAAAAATCAGTTTAAAATAGCTTTACGTGAAGAAGGAAGCTAAACCTAAATGCGCCACCCACTTTTTTTTACCAAAGAAACTATTTGTCAGACGGGTTTCAGCATTTTGCAATATTCATTGTGCCTATGTGAAGATTGCAACATGCTGAATTGCATCTGACAGACCAACTTAGTGAGGAAAGGCTGTCCAAAATGATCGGTAACGACCAAATTTCAGATTCATCACCCCCCCCCCACAGATAACAAAGAGAAACTCACAATTTACTCCCTAACTACTAAGTTAATTTAATCATTAATCATTTAAATTTTATAGATGCATTGTTTATAATAAAGATGTGTCATCATTTGCTCATAAATAATTTTTTAAGTATATTTAGTTACAATTTTTTTTTTTTGCGTTATGATCTGTGCATATTAGCCATAGCGACAATTCTTATATGTGTGTTCAAATTGGGGGGGTTATCGTGAAAAAAGGGCCAGGGGCGACGGTGGGAATCGAACCCACGACCGCGGCGTGAGAGTCTCTCATGCTAACCACTCGGCTACCGCGGTCCCACATATATTAATTAATTTCACTAATTTCGTGGTCTGTTTGACCAATAAATATATACAATTAATTAAGGTTTTTAGTTGAGATAAAAAAGTCAATGGCAATCTCGAATTTTCCCTCCTTTTTGCCATTTTTCAAAAGGTGCGGTTGAGATGGGAAGTTAGTGTCCAAGTGGATCGAGCTCACGGTAGCTCAAGTGGTAAAGTAGCGGCGTATCTAGCCGAAGGTCGTGGGTTCGAATCCCGCTCGTGACTCTGACTTTTTTATCTCAACTAAAAACCTTAATTGTAATATTAATTAATAAACATTCTATGACAATTTAATTCTCATTATGTGGCAACCAGAAGATAATTTGAAAAGTTTTGTACTGAGTGACAATTTTTCCAGTACTGAGTTTAATCAACAAACAATCCCAGGTAAGATCAGCGAGGACTGGACAGCAACATATGTATTAATTTTTAACTTTGTAAATTTAAGTCTGTTACCATATGTTTCCAACTGTAAATTCAAAAGCTGTTTTTTTAATATGTACAGATAAATTTCATTAGTATTATTGTTAATTTTTTGAAAATGAATTAAATTTGAAGAAATTGGAAACAATGTTTATTTTGACTTATTTTTAACAATTAGGCCCAAGTTACGGCAGAAATACAGTTATTTGCAAAACTATGAATAATGATGGATCTTAGGGATTATCTCAAGAAACCAAAATTGTATTTTCATAAGGATTATTTGAAGATAAAGTATGCAGAAATCTTGGACAAAATACTTCAAGTGTTTCTCTTGGTTGTAGTGTGATCTGTGAGTGGATTCCTAAAAACTGAAGACACTTTTCCATGTGTGTTACTCGAGATATTTGAGGTTGAAGATTTGTCATGAATTCCAGCATTTTGTTCTATTTTACTCGATGTAAATGAGCTGTTGTTGAACGAGCTTGATAAAACTGTCGGTCTAGACAATAGTCGTTTTGGAGGTGTATCTGTACCCTTAACTTTTAGACTATTTTCTATATATTTGTTTTTTTCTTCATTGATAGTACTAAGTCTGAAAGTTGGTGGTGAAGAAGTTTGTGAAGGATCTTCAGTGTTGTCTCTTCCTTGAGGATGGGCTATTATTCTATTAACTGAAGTATTTGAAAGAAAAGGTGACGGTGATTTTAATTCCCTAAGCCCTTTTGGAGTGGAGGGTATGTCTGTTTCATTTTCGAATGACCTTTGGAGAACTTTTTTACGCCTTACATGCCTTCCTCCCTGGAAAATCAATCCTTCTTCAAGAGAATGTGAAGAAACATTTCTAGAAGGTGGTAAGCTCGTCGAATTAAAATCTTTCAAATACAAATTGGGTCTAATCCAAACATTGGATGATGTTTCCACCTGGGGCACTATGTTACTAGGCCTGTTTGGCATATTTTCATCAGCAGGCGGTAAATTAGCGAACGTTTTTCCTTCCAACAGTACCCAGTCGTCTTGAGAAGTATTTGAAGGAGCATCACTTCTACTTGATACATAAATCTTAGCCGGTTGAAGCTCCTTGGTAATAGGCGGTCCCTTCAACATTTCTGGTTTGTCCAGTTGCGAAAGAGCATTAAGTGCTGCATAAGACTTTTTATTGAAATCCTTTTTGGGCACCTTTTTTTCCTGTTTAACTGAATTCTTAAAGGGAGAGACAGAAAAGGATCTTAAGCTGTTTGAACCAGTCGCTGCTGGAACGCTATTCTCGTCAACTTCTGTTGAATGTTCTTTGCTCATTTCTTTTCTCATTTCTTTCACTGCTAATAATTCATTTTGCATTTTTATTTCAAAAGAACTGGGCCGTAAATATTCTTTGGGCCCGTAAGGACTGACTTTTGGTGAACGTACACTACCACATCCATACCCAGAAACCCTGGATCCTGATGATTCTTTTGAAGAAGGTCGGGCGAGATATGGGGTTGCAGAATGTTGCCTCTTGCCATCTTCTGGACGAACTGGTGATCTATAGAGCCCGGGAAAACAACTTTTACACATGTAAAACAGTTTTTAATACAGTTATACAAAATGTTTTGAACTGTACAAAACAAAAATATATCTAATTAAAATAAAAACATATGTTTCATTAAAATATAAATTACATTTAAATAAAAATAAAAATGTATATATTCAACCAGATCGTGTAGATCTTAGACTGTGGGATGATTCATTTTTAAGCAAATCTAGTTCTTTGATAATAAAGGTTGATTTTTTGAAGTGGTTTCTTTTTTCTGAATTTTATCGCCAAGACGACACACAGCATGAGGACTTACACTGAAACTTGATTCGTCTTCATCTTGGATTCTGTTGCATCTAAAAGGACCACATTGTGTACGAGGAAAACAACATTTACACATAATTATGGCTTCAAATGCAAAATAACAACTGATATAAGAACATATGGATTTGTTTTGGAAATCAGCTTGGCTATGGATGGTCAATATAATTAATATATAGCCATCAACATTAGACTGAAGAATGATGGCCGAGTGGTTAGGGCGTTGGACTTGTATTTGGGTTTGAATCCTGGCCTGGAAAATAATTTGGAAAAGGTATAATGCATACACCCAACGGGTAAACGTTAAAGTATCCTGTATGGTAAGAATTACATTAAAAGATAGATCAAGGATGAGGCCAATTAAACAAAAAAAAAGTTTTGGCATTTCTGTCTAATCAGCCTCATCTCTGTTATTGTCTTTTAATATAAATGCATACATTTTTTTACTCACGTTGAATTTAAAATTCATAAATAATATATTTTTTGTATATTTAAAACTTTTTGTGATACATCAGTAATCAAATATTTTACAACAATAAAACAACAAAAAAAGCATTTTATGGTCAATTTGTATATAACACAACTAAAAAAACAATGTCATATTTGACACAATTTATAATAACACACTTATTAAATTACTAATATTAACATTGTCTATTAATAAGCATATTGATAAAGAAAGTTTTCTATATTTCAAGTAACACCTTTAAAAACGTAGTTTTGTTTATTTATATGATACATATAGAATAAGAAAATTGATTTTTTTTTCTGCTGTAAAATTTGTTTTTCTTAAGTAAATAAGATATCAAGCCAAATTTGGCTTTGTAAATAAAAAAAAGGTGATTTAAAATTTTTTGTCATTAATATACACACGCATTAAACCGATAATGAATCACAACTTTATAATTAATTTTTTCTTAAAGCATTTACACATAGTATTAATTGTACAGAGAAAACATTTTTTTCCTCTACGAAAGAAAATTGATATATCAGATTCAAAATGAATTAATGTTTTAAACTCTGATTAAAATATTATTGATGAATAACTGTAAAAACAAATCGATATAAAGTCCATTTTTTTACATATTATTTCAAAAATATAAACATTTTACAGTATGTACACAAGTAAAATTTAAAAAATGCGCATAAATACATCATATACATTACAGAAATTTATTAATATTGAACAACATTGATAGTGAATTGCATTTCCTATTCTCAATTACATTTCCTAGTTCTTAAAAAGACTATCTTCAACCATTTTCCTAAATCGTACGAGAAGTTTTGATTTTTTTTTTTTTAATCCTTCAGACTGAATATTTTTGATCACCTTTTTGTTTATAAAAGAGAGCTGAACTCTGATTTATTTCGTTTCAGGACTGGCAGTACTTGAAATATTTCCTTTCATAAACTTTGGCATCCTATTTAACTTTCTATGTAATATTCATTTAAGGAGTTTAGGAACTTCAACTCTTCTTAATATTACACACAGAAATCGATCGTGGTTTAAGAGTTTCTCCATTCTCGCAAAAGGTATTCACTCCAAAACCATTGAAATTGTTATTATATAAACATCATATAAGTACTAGATCATTTATATTGAAGGAGTACTTGTAATTCGTAACACTGCTTTCTTTGTATTTTTAAATTAAATCATAAATTTAAATAGACAATTGGTAAAATAGCTTTGATGTAAATGGAATGTAAAAAAAATTCTGGTGCTTAGGTTACTGTTTGAGTATGCGATATATCAGCAAGTCTGTTCCAGCCCTGAAGCTTGAATTTCAAAGTTATGCGGGCGGTATTATTCGAGTTGGAGTCGTTGGTGTGAGGCCCATTGTCTTACACACCCAACCTGCAATATCGACATCCTCACTTTCTGATTTCCGTACCCAGTCATGATTCTAAAAAAAAATATATATGCATATAATGTGCGTTAGGCAAAGATGTATTCAAAAGAGAAAAATATCTTACCATTAATGTCTTCAAGTCGGCTCTTTCAGCAGGGTTTTTTTTAAGACACCTGTCGACAAAATCTGTAAAACTATCAGAGAATATACCAGGAGGTAGTTTGGGAGGTGGCTCATTGACGATGTAGTCAAGAAGTTCAAATATCGCCATCGGCCTCGGCCCACTTCCATTACCTGTTGACAAAAATTCAGAGTAAGAAAATCAGGTGGGGCCAGTGTTGGGCAAAAATTAGTCATGTCTAATGATTAACGATTGATCACTCAGATCGTTAGTCGTGATTGGTAGTAAGTGACTAATTTAGTCATTAGTCGCCATATGTGATTGATGGCTAAATTAGTCATGACTAGTAATTAAATACGAGGCATGACTAATTTAGTCACAATATAGTTAGTCATGACTAAATTTTGATAAATCATGTTCAAATGGGTGCTCAAAAAATGAAAAATACACAACTTCATCACTTTTAAAAAATTTTCTAACAGAAATTTATTTCACCAAAATGAAAATCCTTCAACATCTTATTTAACAAAAATCAATCTTCCAATTATAAGTAAAACACCGTCGTTATAAAAAGCCAAATGAAAATGATAATGATAATAATAATAATAAAATAAAATAAAAAAATCCTGGAACAAAATCCTGAAAGGATAATCTGGCCAAACCATTACCAACGTTTTTTCTCTTCGTCGGCTCTTTTCACCTCAAAGAAGCTGACTCCTTATACAAAAATGTCTTTCTATACCGACTTCCTTCCCCACCCCTTCAAAATTCAACATATATAAACACAAAACAGCAATATCTCACTGGCACTCTCAACATAACATGCAAGGATGGCACAATTACGCAGAAAACAAACATTTTGAGTGAGTAGAAATTCTTTGATTGAATATAAAAAATATGTATTTTTTTTGCATTGAATAAATTCACTTTTTTTCACATCCAACAAGTATTTATTAAATGTAAACAATGTTTGTAAATCCCAGGCCCTGAAGATGATCTCAATAAAGATCGAAACGTTGGCACGATAAAGAAAATGTTTTTCTCACACCTACATCACACCAGACCGCATCTCACCATTTCCGAATAATCACTAAATGGTACATGATATTTATTTAGACTAATGTACTAAAGATTAACAATCATTGTTATTTTCATTACATATAAATCTTCACATTCAGAGAATGGGATGATCTTGTCAGCGGAATGTCTGCCCAGCTATTTTCCAGTCCCAAACCCCTGAGCGATGTGAATTTGTTTAAACATATATTATTTTGTTGCTCAAGCCCCGATCCTTACACTATGCTGAGGACAGCAGTGGTAGAGGGGCTCATGCTGACGACATTGTTCACTGTGCAATACACTCCCTAAAGAGTCTCGCTCACTCGGCAATGGACATTGGGACCCAAAACTTCCTCTTGCTAACAATATGCACAATTAATTAATGTATTTAGTTGAGATAAAAAAGTCAGTGTCACGAGCGGGATAAATACACATAATAGATTACACGGCATTTGAAAAATGGCAAAAAGGAGGGAAAATTCAAAAGGTGGGGTTGAGATGGAAGTTGGTGTCCGAGTGGATCGAAGTCACGATAGCTCAAGTGGTAGAGTAACAGCGTATCTAGCCGAAGGTCGTGGGTTCGAATCCCGCTCGTGACACTGACTTTTTTTATCTCAACTGAAAACCTTAATTAATTGAAAAATATTAATTGGTCAAGCGGACCACGAAAACTAGTGAATTTGATATGCACAATTTATATTTTTGTCTGGCTTAGTTCAGGCTGAGGCTGCCTTATTAAATTTTTAGGATTTTGTACATGCTTATGTGTACAAAATATGTTTTTACATAGAAATATTGTCAAAAATATGTTTATTATTTCTTAAATTGATCGATACTACAGCTATACACAAAGACTGAAATCACCGCGCTACCACATTTATGTCATGAGTTACACAAAATGGAAAGGAGCCAGAGCACCAGTTTTGGCCGATAAGGGCTGTGCACCCTCACCACCAACCCTCGAGGTGGAGCAGTGTTGGGCAAAAATTAGTCATGTCTAATGATTAATGATTGAACACTCAGACCGTTAATCATGATTGGTATAAGTGACTAATTTAGTCATTAGTCATGTGATTGATGGCTAAATTAGTCATGACTAGTAAATAAATTCGAGGCATGACTAATTTAGTCACAATGTAGTTAGTCATGACTAAATTTCTATAAATCATGTTCAAAAAATGAAAAATACACAACTTCGTCACTTTAAAAAAAATTTCTAATAGAAATTTATTTCATCAAAACAAACATCTTTCAACAACTTATTTAACAAAAATCAATCTTCTAATTATAAGTAAAACTACGTCGTTATGAAAAGCCAAAAAATAATGATAATAATAATATAATAAAATAATCCTAGAACAAGCTATGCTTTGAAAAGTAAATATGTTTACATAACCGATCAATGGAAAAAATATTTCTATGAATTAAAATTTATTCTGCTTGAAAGGAGAGATTTCTACATTATCTGGAAAATATACCGTCTAAGGGTCTTGTAATTGTAATTATAACAAAATAGATATGTAGAATAATTATTTAATTTTGGTTTTCGTTTATGATAACACTTTTTGAAAGTTGGCCTTGAGCACGACTCTCATCTCAAAATTTTTATCCGGAGTCTGTTGGATTTTAGTAAGTTGGTCATTATAGCCAGAGTTGGGCAAAATCTAACTAATTCAATCATGATTAAGAATTTTGACTGAAGTTTAATCATGATTGAATTAATCATGAGTAAATTAATCATTGTATGATTTAGTCATACCTCATGACTGAATTAATCATGACTAAATCATATAATGATTAATTTACACATGACTAATTCAATCATGATTAAACTTCAATCAAAATTCTTAATCATGATTGAATTAGTTAGCAAACTCAAGGTCATATCTACAAGTTGACCATACAAGCTATAAATGACATCGCACTTACATCTCTGAGACTAATATTTAGGGAGTTATTAAGGCAAGGTGATATAGAGCTTTTAGTTACAGTACAACTTTCTGTTCTGGTACCATATGTTTCAGAGTGATTTTAAAGACATTTCATGCAAAATTTAGTTCTAAGTAAAAAGGGTACTTACCATGAGCTGGGGATGCTTGGTTATGAAGTTCTTTCTCTTCGTCTTGAGATGGCCCAAATATAGCTCCTAATGTATTAGCGTCAGGTGGGGGGATTGGGTACATTCCTATCGCCATTTCTACCAAGGAAAGACCAAGAGACCAAATATCACTTTGAACAGAATAGTGGGTCCCTTGAAGCCTTTCAGGCTAAATTGAAAGGAAAACAAACATGAAACATAACTAAAAAGATAATTTATCAATTCAATAACTAACCGACATATAAGACCTAGTGCCGACAAATGAATTGGCCATAGAATCTATTAATTGTCCGGATACACCGAAATCACATATTTTTATTTCTCCACGGCTGTTCACAAGTATGTTACTTGGCTTCACATCACGATGCATGATAGCGTGTTTATCACGAAGATAATTCAATCCTTTTAAAACCTGTTACATTGATTTAATTAAATTAACTCAGAAAGTTAAATAAGAAAAAAATACTCACAGCAGAAGTAATGGTCCCTAAAATTGATTCAGGGATTCGACTAGCTTTTTTTAATATTAAGTCCAAAGAGCCTCCATCCATGTATTCCATGCATATACTAATTTCTCCATCACTGGAATAGCAGTCAACTCATAATATTCAACGGATTGTCAACAACAATTGAACTATTACCTGTAAAATGCTCCATAAAAACCTACAATATGAGCAAAGTTGCATTCGTGCAAGACTTTAAGCTCTCGGATTATTTGTTTTTTAATAGCAGGCTTCACTTCTAGATGAATTAACTGTCAATAAAAGATCAATTAATATAAGTATTACTAATTGATAAAGAAATGCTTACTTTTCTAGCCATTATAAGGCCGCTGGATTTGTGTTTGACTTTCATCACAACACCTCCATTTCCGGCTCCGAGTTCTCCCAACTTTTCAAAATCATCATCACTCAGTTCACCAATTTTTTCCTTTTGGCACAAGAAGAATTCCATTCGTTTCCTCTGAGTATCGTCCATGTCCAGTTCTTCTAACCGCTCTTGAAGAACTTCCATACTAGTTTTCCCCACCAAGGTGCTTCGCCTAGATTTGATAAAAAATTAATTCTGATTTAAACTAAACAAAAAATATTCCATCAATTAACATTTTTTAAATATGTGAAAAATATAACTGCAATACTAAGCTGATTTTTTTGAGTGTTAAAATTGTGGTATATTTGGAAAAGACACGTTCTCACAATTGAACATTTCTTGATCTACTTTATTACAACAAAATCTGTCATGAGAACCCTTGGTTCAATAGAGCTGATCCACTAAAAAGACTAAAAGAACTGGTCAAATTTTTGTCATTCAAGTCATGAGACATTCCTTTTGAAACAAACTAACTTGAAACGTGCAAACATTTCAGTTGACAGTGTGTATTGTTCAACTTTTACACTGCGCTATTTTTTTTTTTTTTAATCTTTCTTATAAATTGTTTTTAAAATGAAGTGAGCTTCAAGAAGACTTGAAGTGTGATGCTAAAAATGATTAGAATTTTATTATGAGCATTATTCCAGATTTATTATTGTAAAATTAAGTCGTTTGCCTTTTATCTTGAATTACCAGGCCCACAAGTTTTCGACATTTATGATAATCTTTTTCAATTAATTAATCTGTATTTAAGATATTGGTTGAGATAAAAAATATGATAACGGACAGCTGTAATGATATAATGAAATGGAAATTTTACAAGATCCTAAAGGTTTGTTAAGGACTCCTGTGTGCACCCAGGATAGGAATCTCAGCCTGCATAAGTCTTGGCACAAACAGAGGACATGTACTGCTGATTCTTCTTCTTCCAGCTACATATGCCGCCAGTCTGCAGCGCCCAATCAGCAGTACTAGATTTAGTAATTCTATGATGGCCCTTCGATGAACTTTTTCACATGCCTCTGTCCTCGACTACATTCTCGTCGTAAACCAAGGATTTACTTTTACTTCATCATTTGAAAGATTCGCATTTTTGGCAGTTTGTATGTCACAAAAGGGTTCAGGGCCAATAGCTTTCCTTATCGAACTTTCCTTGGCCAATTTATCAAGTTTATTTTTGCCCCTCTGCTCTATGTACCCTGTACCCAGACAAGGATAATTTTGTTGTTATCCCAAACACACAAAATCACAGGGCCCTGATGCAATCTGAAACGGCAATGGATTTACTACCGATGAGGTAGTTTGCTCTCAGTACTGCCTGGCTATCTGAGTAGATTTTTTTTTGTTTGTTAAATATAGATATTTTTAGCCTTTTAATCTCCTTGTTTAATAGCCACAGTCTCTACTTGAAAGACCCAAGGCTTATACGAATTCAAGTCCTTGATATATTTCCATAAATACCAGCTCTTGGCCCATACTTGGTTTTAGAGCCATCTATCTTTACAAGCTGGGAATGTAATGTGTTACATATGTATTTTGGGTAGAAAACTTCTTGTGCCTAGAAAGATATCCTGGATCACCTCTCACAGGTGGATGAAAAATACTGAAAAAGGACGTAACAATGATATTAAAAAGATTCGCCGATGAGAAAATTAACAAACATCAAACAATTTTAAGCTGTACCAGAGGATGGTCACCAAAAGTGCAAACTTGATAAACCATGCAGGAGTGGACCTCAGCATAAGAAAGTGGATCTTTTGCTTAAGGGCAGAAATTTTAAACCATAATGACAAACCCTACAAAAAAGATAGAGACGGAGTCAAAGTGCTCAATATGTAACATTGTCAGGGAGGTCCCACTTTCTGCGTATGCTCCATACTTAATGAATTGAGAAACGCAGCACTGGAGAAAACACAATTGAAACATGAAGTGGTGTTCAGCTTGCTGTGTTGAACAAATGGAGGATGGAAAAAAACTGTCTGACTTCTGCAAAACAGCCTGGAGATACTGTCAGTTTTCTGATGCAAAATTCAATTTCTCATTCACTGTTTTGATCCAAGATTATTTTTAATTTCACTAATTGCATGGTCTGCTTGACCAATTAATATATTATAATTAATTAAGATTTTTAGTTGAGATAAAAAAGTCAATGGCTCGAGCGGGATTCGAACCCACGATCTTCAGCTTGATACGCCACTGCTCTACCACTTGAGCTATCGTGACCTCGATCCTCTCAGACACCAACTTCCCATCTCAACCGCACCTTTTGAATTTTCCCACCTTTTTACCATTTTTCAAATGTGTAATCGGATTGGATACTCGACGACAAATGAAATGGCCACGGAGAGCTTTAGTGAATACTTCATTTTTAAATCATTAAATTCACTAATTTTGTCGTCCGCTTGACCAATTAATATATTATAATTAAGGTTTTTAGTTGAGATAAAAAAGTCAATGGCACGGGTGGCAAATGGCAAAAAGGTGTCCGAGTGGATCGAGATCACGATAGCTCAAGTGGTAGAGCAGCGTCGTATCAAGCCGAAGATTGTGGGTTCGAATCCCGCTCGTGCCATTGACTTTTTTATCTCAACTAAAAACCTTAATTAATTACAGTATTTTTAATTTATTTCATACATTCAAGGAATTCATTTTATTTTAAATTAAATATTTTGTTTTTCTATTTGATATCTTTTGCAGTTCTAACTATATTCATGTTTTTTTGCACTTTTCTTTTTTTTCCCCTCAATTTAATTTTACATTTAATATCTTTTCAAAATAGATTTGAGCTTCCAGCAGACAGCCATTGCCATTCTGTAACATTTATTTTACTCATACACAAAAAAAGGAAAAAATTATACATTATTGTTCAACAAATTTTTTTCTTCTTCTATACCACATATAATCGGCAATAACTGAGATCCTTTTCTCCCAGACTGCTCTATGGCAGAGGTTGTGGGCCTCCAAGAAGAATACAAGGTAAACTGATAACACTTGATCATTCTTCTGGGAAAATACAAATGCATTTTGGCTTACGTCATCTTCAGTGAAGAACTAACAAATGTTTGAATAACATCTAAACCCATGAAAGAATCATGGTCTTAGCATTACTGTCGAGCATCAGGTGCATGACTATCAAACTTGACAATAATATCAATTTATGGGCCAGAGTCTGCAAGATATACTTTCAGTGTCTTCCCTGCAAATGTTGAAATAATTTCATAATAGTCCCAGACGTTATATTTTCCAACTTACCAACCTAGATTGGTACCTCAGTTTTTAAGCAAAAAATAAATCAATAAAACATAAAAAATACAAGTGTTCCAAAACAGAACTAATAAAAATCATACCGCCCCTTAGCTGAGACTTAGGAAGGAAAGAAATTTGCTTGGATACTTGGTTAAAATTTGTATAATTTAATGGCCTAATAAAAAAGATCCCAAACATCCAGAGCAGAAAAATAAAATAAAATGCAAGTCTACAAACTTTCATTATTTTACTAAGTTGTCTGCAAGTAACTCAGTTCAGTTCAATCGTCCACAAGTTGAACTTGTGTTCACATAATTATAACGCAAATATCATCCAAAATAAACGAACTGCTGAGACTTAGAACCAAACTGTACAAACAGATGGCAAGACAAGCTATGTGATGATCGTTCTAAGATAGGAACATGTATTGTGGAAGAGAGGAAGAGAGGGGACGATCATCACAAATACATTTGAGGAGGAGATAAGGGTTAATCCTGAAAGGTGTGTACTGGCAGAAGAATATATTAAATTTTCATTTTTCAAGAGAAATTTAAGGTATATATATATATATTTCTGATTTTATTTGGTTAATTTTGAGTTTTATTTATTTAATTTCTGAATATTGCCTTGTTGAATGGTTATTGTACAAGAAAATGAAAGCTTCTCGTGCATTACTACTAGCAGTACTTCAGTTTGGACCATACAAGAAGATCCTTTTTTTAAATATATTCTTTTGCCATATATATAATGTATATATTATTTTGTATTACACAAGATCCAGCCCCACAGCTAATTGGTCCAAATTATACAAAATTAATTATAAAATTCTAAAGCTGAGAAAATACCCACTACCAAGAAGTGTAAAATTGCGGTTTAATAAATTCTTGGGGTGTCTTGGGTTGAAGATTTTTTCACAGAGTGAAAATTTGTATGACTGTGTCCAAAAGAGACAGTTTCCATTGCAAAGGGAAAGAAGTGCCTGATGGATGCTGTTCAACCAGTTGGTTAAAATTACACAAAAATAATACATTTATCTGAATAATAAGAAAATTAAAAAAAAAATCTTGAAAATGTTCATTGCAATATTTGAATATGTGTTAGGCAAGTAGAACATTTGTAAGCAGTTTGGATATCCATTAAAGGACAGATAAAGATAACCAGTCACTAAAATACATTATTTTGAAAGAAACCAGGTATTTCGTTGAGGTTGAATTTGATGCGGTAATATTTCGGTTCGAGATATAACAACCACCAATCAATTCGGTTCATGTCAATGTTATACATAAAACTTTTTTGAAAGAAAATTTTGAATGTTTTTTGTGAAGGGTGGTCACAACACGATCCTCTCTTGAAGGTTGCATCCTTAGCCAGTGGATGTTCCTTGATTGCTGGTTTTACATCTCGAAATTCTACGCTTGGAATGCTGAAGAATGGCTTTATAGTTTGAACGCAATCTCTAAATAAATTCAACCACCACAAAATACATTATTTCTTTCAACCTAAATATCACTAGAAAAGCATTTTCTATCTCACCATGGGCTTAATATTATGAACATTAAAATAAACTGCTCAAAAATGAATAGGTATATTTATAATTTATTCTTGTTCTATTCATTTTAATTAATTTAACCGATATATTCTTGTCAGTTGGATAAAACCAAATAGAAAATACAAACCAAAAACAAAGAAATGTTAATCCTCATTTTTAAACATGAAGATTAGTCATTGTGTAAACAAACAACTTTTTTCTTCTTTAATCTCTCCATTTTAATCCAGTTGTATTCTCTTTAACCTTGGAAAGACATCTTAAACCAGAATTTTGGAATATTATTGTGAGAATTAGTCATCGAGGTCACCGGCAAGTGGATTGCATTCTTGGCAGTTGGCGTTTCTCAAGCGTGTGAACTCCCAGGCTTTAGCCTGATTCCAAGAGAATGGAAGTGCCAACAGGAGGCCTGGTGGTGGATCTCAGCTCATTACAATGCTAAAGGATGACAGAAATATTGTCATTACTGCAACCCTTTCCACAATGCCTGCCAGTTCCTAAATGAAGTACAATAGAATGCTAATGGAGGACAGAAATATTGTCATTGCTGCAAGACGGAACCTTTCCCATAGTGCCAGATCCTAAATGCCAAATCCAAATCAAGGTGTTTTCAACACAAATGATTCGTAATCGTTTGTGGGAGGTTGGCCTCCATTGTATGCCCCTTTGAGACGACCTGCAGCAACAGTCTGCCACCAGCAACTCAAGAGAATATGGTGCAGTGAACGCCTAGAAGAGACCACCATGCTTTTATGTTTACTGATGGCTTGTGTTTCTGTCTGCATAGTGATAGCAGGCGCTGAAGAGTACTGAGAACAGGGGATGCATACAATGCCCTAGTCCGTGATCCTTTCGGTGCAGTTTGGAGGAGGCGATATAATGGTCTGGACTGGGATTTACACTGGAGGACGAAATGGGCACCATATTGTTGAAGGCAACCTCACCATAGTCCATTATAACCAAGAAATTATCGAGGAATAATCAAATCAGGTATCTCATTGGAAGGAATTTTGATTTCTAGATGACAATGCCAGACCTCATATAGGCAGTGTTTCAACAATGTTTAGAAAACCTGATAATTTCCCATCTGCCCCTTCCCTCATGTCTCCAGTCCTCAATCCAATTGAGCTTATTTGGGATGCATTGCAGATTAGGTTTTTCAATCATCACTCGCACCCACTTGACCTACAACAACTGAGTGCAGCGTTGCAACATCTATGGAGTGAAATTCTTTATGAAATTAGTGACTACCTAACAGGTGCAGAGTTTTTAGCCAACAGAGGACATTATACATGGTATGTTATATTTAATGACCATTAATTAATGACTATTTGGAGATTTTGAGATGCGGCCTGGTGTGACGTATGTTTAGAAAAACATTTTCTTTATCGTGCTAACGTTTCGATCTTTATTGAGATAATTTTCAGGGCTCACAGTGTTTGTTTTCTGTGTAGATGTGTCATTACTGTGTGTTTTGTTCAGAGTGTATGTACGACATACAGTAATGTCACATCTACACAGAAAACAAACACTGTGAGCCCTGAAAATGATCTCAATAAAGATTGAAACGGTACGATAAAGAACATGTTTTTCTAAACCTACGTCACACCAGGCCGCATCTCACTATCTCCAAATAATCATCATACATGGTATTAATTTTTTAAAAAACATTTTGTGTCCAATAAACAAAATTATAGAACCTTTTATGTTGTTATTGTTCAAAATCCCTTAATTAAAGTTTTCTAGTATTTTATATTATTTTTTTCGGTAAAAAACAATAATTTATAGTAAAAATAAAATAAAATGCTAGGGAAAGGTAAATATTTCAAAATTGGCAATATCCCTATTAATTTTTGAGCAGTTTAGTTATACTCCTTCATAAATATGACAGTACTCACTCTGAAGCCTCGGATTTTGGTGTCAAGACTGGCATAGACGGCGAGAGTGGTGCAGCTTCTATGCTTCCAGGTGGCAAAGTCAAGTTCAGTTTGTTTTTTGACATAATTAATTTAAAATAGGGAGTGGACGGACCACCGTGGGAGAAGAAAAACAATAGGTTCGAAAGAGAGAGGAATGGACAGGAACTCGATGCTGTAGACTGTATTAGATTTTCACAAGTATTTAACTCGCCTGTAAAACATAAAGCTCAGATTCCATAATCGTCGACTTTCCTCTTTTTAAAACACGGATCGACAAAAGAACTCAATAGTTGATCAACACAGGAACAAAATATTCAATCGGCCGATACCATAACGAATTTTTTTAATTGGAAACAGAAAAGCTTGCCGGCATTTAATGCATTCAATACGAAATAGAATCAATTCGGGATTATTCGAAATTTATATTTATATTGATATCTCCGGTACCGACTTTAAATTGACCAGAACTTCGTTTCCACTCTACACATAACTCACAGTCACAAGTGTTTACAGCTGATTTACGTTAATGCTTTGTAGTTTGTAGTACTTGCGATAGTCTTGAGACCTGCGTTCTGCGATAATCGATGCATTTAAAAGATCGATTCGTCAAAATAGCTGCCAAAAGATTACCACACTGCAATCAGCCCAAACGGGGATCAACTACGAGTTTTTTCAAAATTTTCTTTACAATTGGCATCTTTGACTCTTTAATAATTAATAATTGTAATAAATGGCTAATAATCGCAATTTAAATAAGAAAGATAGCTTCCTCCAAAAAAGAGGATAAAAAAAAAGTTATTGTGTTTTCGTTTCTTATTATTGTTAAATAGCATTAGTTTATTTATCATATTTGAATGGAAGAATAAAAGGATAACGATGAGCCTATGCTAGTCTGACTTCACTATTATTATTTATTTAGAAATCGTGAGATGCGGTCTGGTGTGATGTAGGTTTCAGAAACATTTTCTTTATCGTGCCAACGTTTCGATCTTTATTGAGATCATCTTCAGTGCTCAAAGTGTTCTGTGTAATTGTGCCATTCTTGCGTGTCGCGTCGAGAGTGCCCGTGAAACGTTGGCACGATAAAGAAAATGTTTCTGAAACCTACATCACACCAGACCGCATCTCACGATTTCTAAATAAATATCGATTAACAGTCATTAATCACCACACATTATTATTATTGGCCATACAAGCCTATGGCAAAAAGTTTAAATTATGGAACAAAAATTCAAAATCCTAATTAAAGAACAGGAATAAATTTTATAATTTAAAATGGGGTTTTTTGCATACATTCGTCCTTCCAAATTAAGAATTTGAAAAGGATAAATTAAAGCTTTGGATGGCAATAGGACCGATTTTTTTATGAGTGGGTGTTTGGGGTCTGACCTTTATAGCTAACCTAAGATAGAAAGTTTAAATGCAAGGGCGTGAAAAGCCATTAAAACGCCCTTAAAATTAATAATAATACGTGGTTGACACACGAGCCTTATAGAGAAAGGTTGCTCGATGTGTCCCACATAATTGAGGCGTGTCATGCCTTGGCTCCATACAGAGAGCGTGTAGGCATGCCGCCGGATTTAAGAATGGTTCTTGGACACGGTAACGAGGTTCAGGTCCCCTGTTTCCCCCCTGTTTTCCCGGAATTGGGAATTTTTATTGTATACAGCCGTCAATATATGTGTGAGTGTATTTATTAGAGTGAATGGGGAGGGGCTGATGGTGGAATAGCATCTGTGTACTTGACTTTGGTCGATGGCGGAATATTTATAAAAGTACTCCATCGACTCCAGTTAGATTAGTTTGTTATTGTATGCTAGTTGATGGAGGAATATTGAGTACTCTATCCACCAAATGAATGCAATGTGTATAGGTGTGAATGTATTTATTTGTGTGAATGCGTATTGAATGTACGTTGCAATATTTCGCAAGCTCTCGGGGCCAAAATGACCAGGATGTTATCGTTGAATTCGGTTACCATCTCTAGGATATTCCTTCATAAACTTCGGATTACCCATTGCTAGTTTTTTTTTTTCGGAGGTTCGCAACAGCAGAGGTTCATATCAACCCTCGTGGTGCCAGTGTTTTTGAAAAAAAAAAAGCCCATTTGTAAGTATGTCGGGTTCGAATGCAGGGCCGCTGGATTCGAACCCGGAACAGTGATGAGCGCCGTGTCCCCATTGCTAGTTATCCAAGTTATTATGAAACTATTTATTTTAATATGAACAAGAATATTGTTCAATAAATGGTGTTATAAAAGTTATAATAAAAATAAAAAAAATTAAAGGGGGAGCAAATTCCACAGTCTTGACCCTGCAATTCTGCTGGAGGATTATAGAAAGAAAAAGACATTTCTGAAGATGAAAGGAGAGGAAATCCGAAAATGAAGGATTCTAATAAATTTGTCGTTTAATAATAATTTCATCATTCCGAATTGTGAACCTTATCACTCGTGTTTATGATTTAGGAATTTGTATTGTTTGTTTAAATAAATAAAAAAATTTAGTTTGGTGAATTTTGCATTTTGAAATGAACATAAGTTAGTGCTTCGCAGTACTAGCCGCGTGGTGCACTGCTTCATCTTCTGTTTCCCGTTTTCTCATCGGCACAACCAGAAAGCAGTAGCTGAAGCCTCCTTTGGACGTCAGCCGACTCGTGGAAATACTGTTTTCGTTCTAGATTATCCGAAGTCATCGGGAAAATTCAGTAAGTTTTTCCTCAAATCTACTATTTGCAGATTATTTTTAACACTTCTGGCTTGGGTAAATTTGTTTTTATCCCGTGGAAACTGAAAATTGTCAGTTTTCCCTTTTATTTCGTTTACGTAGACTTCTAGGTTATAGTCGCACCGATCTGTCGTTCGTTAGATCGGGAAATTGCTACATTAAATTAAACCGTAATAAGTATTAACTTTACAGTCTTATTTAACGTTAGGACAGCCACAAACTTAATTTTATAAAATTTTACTGTAACCATCTAATTTCTATACGGCATGCAAATTTTATCCTAGCACCTCATTCAAACATTGATGATGTGCTGAACCAGAATAGACTGAAAACATATTTTCTCTGTCAGTAAAACTTTATACAAACATATTTACAGTAATACCTCTAAGGTATTAGAAAAGTACAGCAAACATGTTATTTATGTTTATGCTACTTAACATGTTCAATGACAGCTCTGTTTAGTTGGGAATAATTTTTGTCGCCTTTTCTTAAAATTGATTTTTTTTACAGCAATGGCTAGGTATTCCCACGAACCTGATAATGCTTTTGGGGTCGCGGTAGCCGAGTGGTTAAGGTGTCAGATCTCAGCTAGTAAATCCTGCGGTTGTGGGTTCAATCCCCGCTGGACTTTTTTTCTGACGCCTAAGGGGATCGGTGGCTGCAATTGAAATAAATTGACACGGCACTCATCAACGGAAGGTCGGGCGGGATCAGATCTTAGAGACTTTGAATTTGGTCCCTACCCCATTCAAAAATGAGTTTCTTCGATTGTAGAACACTGGCACACCGGGGGCTCAATTCACACGCGTGTTGCGAGCTCTCCCAAAAAATGGCGCCAGGTATAAAGTACTGCAAGCTGTACTGCTGCAGTTCTCAGGGGGACCTCATCCTCCAGTTCCTGGTATCCATTGTAAAAAAAGTATTAATTTTACAGACATATTTAATGTTACAAAAGCCACAAACTTAGTTTTACTTTAACCATTCTGTATGGTATGCAAATTTTATCTTAACACCGCATTCAACCATTCATGATGTGCTGAAGCAAAATAGACGAAAACATGTTTTTTCTGTCAGTAAAACTATACAAACATTTACATGATTACCTCTATAGGTATTAGAAAAGTACAACAAACATGTTCTGTATGTTTATGCTACTCATGTTCAATGACAGCTCTGTTTAGTTGTGAATAATTTTTATGTCGCCTTTTCTTAAAATTGAATTTTTTTACAGCGATGGCTAGGTATTCCCACGAACCTGATAATGCTGTGAAATCCTGCAAAGCCCGGGGTTCAAACCTCAGGGTACATTTCAAGGTATGTTGTTTATTTGTTAATTTTTTTTTTTAAAGAATGCTTTTTAAAGAATGCTTTATTAATACTACATTTCAGAATACAAGGGAAGCAGCCAAGGCTGTTAGGGCCATGCCTTTGAGGCGGGCTGTTCGTTTTCTTAAAAACGTTATGGAAAAGAAGGAATGTGTTCCTTTTAGGAGGTTCAACGGCGGTGTGGGACGTTGTGCTCAGGTAAACCCTCATTTTTTTTATATTTTTATATATAAAGCTACAACCCACATGGTTTACAGGCCAAGCAATGGGGAGTCACTCAGGGCAGATGGCCAAAGAAATCTGCCGAATTTCTCCTCCAACTCTTGAAAAACGCTGAATCTAATGCCGATTACAAGAACTTGGACCCAGACCGTCTTGTGATTGAGCACATTCAGGTCAACAGGGCACCACGCCTTCGCAGAAGGACCTACAGAGCCCACGGAAGAATCAACCGTAAGGAAATATTTGATTTTTTTTAAAGCTTTGTTTAAAATGTTTTTTTTTTCCAGCTTACATGAGCTCTCCGTGCCACATTGAAGTGGTCCTTACAGAGAAGGAACAGGTTGTACCTAAGGCCACTGAGGAAGAGCCCACTAAGAAGAAGGTTTCTAAGAAGAAGTTGGCCAGACAAAAAGAAAAGATGATGAGGGAATAGGCTTAATATAAATAAAAGCGTTTTACATTTTCTGATAGTTTTAATTATTTAAACCTTACAGTTATAAATTTAAATGGAAACATTTATTTAAAAAAAAAAAAAAAGAAAAAAAAAAGGCATCGTCAAAAGCCCTTTGAACAGCAGTATCTAAACTTTTTTTGGGTGTTTTGATTATGAGGTTATATCATTCCTGGTGTTCTGGAGTTACTAAAAAGAAGCCCTTTTGTACATATGTTATTGTACATATATTTGAACTCAGGTCCATTATAGTGAAGAATCTGTAAGTGCTCTTCCATTGCAGCCACTTGACCCCCTCCCCTCTATATATTCATACTTACTGTGTTTCTCAACAACCTGATGATATCTTGGGTGCTAGGGCACAGGGGAATTTTGGGTAACGACAAAGCAGACAGTCTGGTCAAAGGAGGATCTGCATGGCCATACATAGGCCCTGAATCTATACTTGGGATAACAAAAACAAATATAGAATCCTCCATCTCAGAATGGATCCAAACAAAACAAAAGAAGTGGATAAACTCTACCAGTGCTAGACATAGTAAACTTATGATGAAACAACCCTTACCAAGACTGGCATCCCTAACCTCAGAGGAGTGGTAGGACTACTAACCGGTTACTGGAATCTGAAAAAACATCTATATAGCTTGGTATATACAACGATGATCCCATTTGCAGATTATATGATGAGGAAGAAGAAATAGCCACTCATATCATCTTCGAATGCGAAGCAACAGCTCAATGGAGATTTAACCTAACGTAGGGAAAAAACTTAGGGAATCAAATTGCAGCAGCGACAGTCAATGACCTGATACTTCGAAGGAGAAGGATTGAGTCTATTGCACTGAACTAAGGAACTAGGAAGGTACAATAAGCCAGAAGGCTGCAGCGCCTGGGGAGCACAAATCCCGCTTCCTAGTATCCTTTTTTACCATAACCATACCATACCGTGTTTCTTCTTACTCCAAAGAGCGCCTCTCAAAATTCCTTTTGGCAAATCTCTTGACATACAGGTAATAATTGCCATTTTATACACTGTCTTTTAAGGCAGTTACTTTCTCTTCAAATTCTATAGATTGGATCATTCATACTTCAAAATACAGATGACCGTCTTACTATGCATGGCTACATGGATGTTTACTTACATGCAATTCTATTAACAAAGTGGTCGAGAGGGAGAATCAATGGGATCAAACTTACGGTTGGCCAAATGTTTGTAATTTATGATATTTCCTCTTGTGGTTTACAAGGTGATCGGTAACGATTAAATTACAAATGTAAGCTTACTGGAAATCAACTTTGTCAATAATTGAATGATTCAAACATTCTCATCTACAAATAGACATTCATTGCACTGTGCTTTAATTGGGGGAAAACATTTGCACAGCTCTTGCCTCATTTGATTCACTAGTTGGCAGGCTTGAAAAAATTATTTTGCCTTCGGACATGAATTCAACAAGATCCTTCACCTGAAGTTACGTACACATCATTGTCAACAAGGTCTTAAAGTCCATATCTTCAAAGACCATTCCTGTTTTATCTGGGCCTCCAACAGATCCTAGATAGTAAACTTAAACTAAAACAACTCTCACCTAGACTGGCAAACTCACTGCTGCAGTAGGAGAAGGCCAGTCTCAGGAGTAATAGGACAATTAACCGGTTGGCGTTCACTTGCACCTGAGAAAATATCTACATAACATTGGGCAAATATAACAATCTCATTTGCAGATTATGTAATTAGGAGGAAGAAACAGCCACCCATGCTCAATGGAGACATAACCTAGCCTACGAAAAAAAAAGACCTAATACTTTTGAGAAGAAGGATTGTGTTGATTGCACTGAACTACAGAACTAGGAAGGTATAAGCCAGAAGGGTGCAGGCCTGGGGAGCTCAAACCCCGCTTCCTAGTATCTCTCATTTGTCATGGCTCTGGTTATTTCCTGAAGGAGTATAGCAGTCTACAGAGGGCTTAATATTCCAATTAAAGGGACGGCGGTGCCCCCTACACTCAGTTTTATTGCTTGGCAAACACTCTTCATGAGAGGAGGAACATTTTCAGGCTGGGTTGAAAATGTTGAAAGTAGACTGCTGGAGGATTTTTTCATTTTATTAATTCCTGTCAAACAATAAAGCTAAACGTGCTAAACTTTTTGGGTGTCAAAAGATCACGTACCTTACTTTTCTCTAGTACTTTTTTGTTTGTTTGTGGTGCTATAGATCTGATTATGATTTTGGGAGATTTAATCAAATTGTTGATTTTAGGATGGCTATAAGGTCTCAAACACCTTTAATATTGGGTTGTCCGGAAAATAATGCAGGATTTTGGTATTAAACAAAAAAAAAGAAACTAGTTACTTTAAAGCAATGTTCTTTAATCAAAATAATTTCCCATACTCTCAATACATTTCTCCCAACGTGTTGGTAACTTATTAATTCCGTCTGAGTAGAATTCAGAATTTTTAGAATTGATAAAGTCAATAAATGCATTTTCCAGTTCCGTTTGATTTTTGAATATTATGTGTTGTAAGTAGTGGTCCAGGTGTCTAAAAAAATGGTAGTCAGTAGGCGAGAGGTCCGGAGAGTAGGGTGGGTGAGGCAAAGTTTCATAGCCAAGCTCCAATAATTTTTGTGACGTTACACGTGACACATGTGGTCGAGCGTTGTCATGCAACAAAATGGGCCCTTTCCGATTGACCAAAGAGGGCTTCATTACTGCCAATTTCTGATGCATGGTATTAATTTGGTTACAGTATGATTCAGCATTGATGGTTTCGCCAGGATTTAAGAAGCTGTAGTGTATTAAACCAAATGAAGCCCACCATACCGTAACCATTACCTTTTTTTGATGAGTTGGGGGCTTTGGAAAATGTATTGGAGCTTCTCCTTTGTCGAGCCACTGTCCAGAACGTCTAGTGTTATCGTAGAGAATCCACTTTTCGTCACATGTAACAATTCTGGCCAGAAATGGGTCATTTTTGTTTCGACAAAGAAGTGATGCACAAACATCAAAGCGCTGATTTTTTTGGCGATCGTTTAATGAGTGTGGAACCCAATTTTCGAGTTTTTTCACTTTTCCAATCGCCTTGAGGTGGTCAGCGACGGTCGTTTTACTGACTTTGAGTTGCTCTGCAAGTTCTCGAACAGTTGTTTTGGGGTTTTCTTCCACCACTGATCGCAGAACATCATCATTAAGAGAGGAAGGCCTTCCACGACCTTCTTCATCTTCAAGGCTGAAATCTCCCTCCCGAAATTTTTTAAACCACCTTTGCACAGTGCACTCATTAACACAACCCTCGCCCCAGACTTGGTTAATGTTTCTAGCCGTTTGGGCTCCGCTTCGGCCGAGTTTAAACTCGTAAAAGAAAATCGTACGAAATTCTCGCTTTGACATTATAAGGATGACTGAATTATTTCCAAGTAGCGGAATGCTACAGAGGTAAACAAACAATATCATTTGGAAGAGGATTAATAAGTGTTGACATTCATACAAATGAGTAATCCTGTAAACGTAAACAGAATATTTTATATAGATTTTTTTTAATGAAAACTTAAAATCCTGCATTATTTTCCGGACAACCCAATACTATAACATATACTTATTAATTTAGGCTCAAAAAAAACCATGTCCTTCATAAGGAGTGGATTTATGGTATTATATTACCCATGTATCAAATATATATATATTTTTTTATTAAACCAATACCACCACTTAGCGTGGCAGGTGAGGAGAGGCCCGAGCCAAAGCACGCGTCCCATGTTACATGTCTACCTTTGAATTACACCTCAATGCAACTTTCTCTTATGAAATAATAAATTAGATGGTATATGTCTCATCTCCCAGATGTAATTAAAGTTTCCAATGAAAAAGGTCTGGCTACTCCAACCAAGGATTCGATGCCACTGATGAGATTCTGTCTCATATCCTCGTATTCTGGGCATTCCATAATTATATGGTTCATGTCCTCTGTACAATCACAGGAAGCATAATTGGCAGATTCTCTCAAGCCAATCTTATATTTATGAGCACCCCATAAGCCACGGTTGCTTCTGATCCGTGTGATTACTGTATAGAAGTCACGAGTTGCCCTGCATCCTTGAAACTACGGAATCTTGGGTACCACGGGGAACCTGAACCAATACAGTGATCCACCTGCGGAGCCATTATGAAATTCCTGCCACTCAGATAGCCAACTTGCATTGAGTAAACGTCTACAATCGCTTTTTGTATATTTATATTCGCAGAATTCCCCTGCATCGATAGCCTGTTTTGCCTTCACATCTATCAGCTCATTCCCACGGATCCCTGAATGCCCTCTAATCCAGCATAGAGTTATATTTTTTCCGCTGTTGACCAGTTCCCTATACACTTGCAAAATATATACTGTTACATGGTCCAGTTTCAATTTGGTATTTATTTTCTCTGTGTGGGAGACAATACTTTTTGAATCAGTCATGATAGCAATTTTCTTAACATCTTATTTTCTTTACATACTCTAATGCCTTTAGAATAGCCATGGATTCGGCAGAGAAGATGGAGCTATTTGCAGGGAGAGAAAATGTTTTATTCTTCCTCCGTACTGAGTTGTAAAGAGCAAACCCAGCCATACCTTCCTCCAGAGAACCATCCGTGAAAATTATATAATAGTCAGCAAGGTGTTCCCTGGCATCCGGCTGGAACATTTGGTTTGAAATCCATGGAGGAACCCTGAATAGTCCCGCAGGTATATACACCGAGGTGTTATGATTGCGGAAGGGGCACCAAAACTGTAGATTGGGTCTAGATTGCTTTGAAACGCTGAATAGATGAGAGGAAAAACTTAACAAAAGCATCGACAATCGGTGGTGACCTTTTATACCTCCAGAACTTGCTTGTTAGATCCTGCGATGCTACGGCAGCTATTTTGGACACAATGGGGCTATCATTTTGGTACAAGTTGATGATTTTGTTGATAGCTAGCTTTTTAATCCTGGAATTAAATGGTGGCTCGGCTGCCTCCGCACAGATGACTATTATGGGAGTGCCTTGTAGGCACCCTAAATTTCGGCGGAGACATTTATTTATAAATAATTGTACCTTTTTCAGGTGAGAGTCTGCCGACTGGCCTCATAAGGAGTTGTCAACTTTATTAAGTTAAGAATTGAACTTAAAATTATAATGTGAATTCCTTGCTTCTCTTTTTGTTGGATATTTTTCACCTGGATTATAAAAACTTCGTAAGCTTTGCCATTTTCGTTTGGAAGTTGGAAAAGATATTAGAATGTGTATTTAGTTTTTTAATTAAAGAATACAGTGGTCAGTTTTTTGGTCATTTCTAATTTGATATTGCGACCATTCATTGTTTATTTTTCTTCAAACTGGCCGATGAAATTTTGTACTATAAAAGCAAAATTATACTGGTTCAAAGCGCTGTAAAAATGGGTGTGAATAAAAAAAAAAATTTTTTTTGCAGACGTTTTATTCTGAGGATTGAACTAAAAACCAATCATTGAAACAGGTTTTAGTCATTTACAGTTAAAAATTATAAAAGAGTTTATACTGGATGTATGATTATAAAAGAATTAGTTTTATAAGCTTTTATTAATGCAGTAATATAAATAAATAGAGTTTGGTTTGCTACTGTTATATACTATAGGTAGACTAATGTATTCAAATTATTTTTTTTTTTTAAAGCATAATGATTTTTGTTTCTATTACAAAAATAAATAAATAAAACAGGTGTAGTTTGTGAATGTTTACATTTCTTCTTTATAATTGATGTTTTAGTTAACTGATTGTTATGGTATTTTCTCCTTTTTTCCTTTTGTTATACATCCTGCCAAGGACAATTTTGAATGTGGCCCAAGCAACACCTACTGAAAGTGGTATGGTGTTTTTTTTCTCATAGTTATATTAATTTTTTAAATTATGCGCAATTACAGGACAGTTTACCCTGAACATCAGTGACTTTAGAATCGTTTTGCCCAGGAAAGTTTCTGAAGAGGGTAAATTCCTATCGCACTACTTGCCCCATTTTTATAACGTGCCAGCACGGTCAAAACGGGATACGAGTCATCTGAAGAGTGTACACTACATTCTTCCACTGGATGAAATGGAGTACCATATCGAGTTATGGCCAACAAGGGAGATCTTTGCGCCTGGCTTGATTGTAGAACACCACAAGAGCGATGTTAAGCGCAATACTAGTGACATCAGCTTTAGTAAATTGCGGTCTGCTCTGTGTTACTATAACGGTGTCATCAGAGAGTTGCCATCATCCAGAGTTGCGCTTTCCACATGTGATGGATTGGTAATATTTCTTTATATTTAATCTTGTTAACTAACCGATAATTTTGAGTTTACTTTTAAAACCAAAAATGAATTATTTATGAAACACAAGGCGTTTTGTTCAAATTCAATAAATCTACAAAACAAAAACTGACAATTTTTACAATATTAGATTTCATCTATCATATGTTAAAAGTAAATATTATCTCAATGAATTGAATTGAAGGAATAAATTTAAAATTATTGCCCACATGAAAAATATTTTTTAAGTATAAAATTTGGCTCAATTTGATTAAAAAAATGACCAAAAAAACTAATAAATGTATGCTTTAATTGAGCAAATAAATAATTCTTAGCATATTGAATGAGGTAGCTTAAAAAGCTGTCAATCCTCGGTGGTGGCAAATTGTTTTTGTATTTTTTTCATAAATAACTTTAATTTTAATTATAAAACACAGTTTTTTTTTCATTTCAACTTTTGTCTAAATGAGCATTTCTGGGTGGGTCTCATTTGGCTCAAATGACAACTAAGTTTTCAATTTTCATAAAACTCATTTTGTTTTTTTTGTTTAGTTGTTATTTCTCTTTTTTTATTTATTATAATGCAATAATTATGAAATTGGTTGTTTTGTCATTATTTGAATTAGTAAGGTTGAAATTTCATTGAAAAAATAAAAATAGTAATTTATAATAAATATATTTGAAATTGGATTTGCATTTATATAGGCTCAAATACACACATGTACATAAGGGTGCCCCAGTTCCTTCTGACGAAACTCAGGGAATCGATTCTACTCTTCTTTTGGAGCAAAAAATGCTCAGGAGAAAATTTTCGGAATGTTCTCTATTTTGAAGATATTCGTCAATTTAGGTTTTTTTCAACTTTTCACTACCTTACCACATAAAAACGCTTACAACTTCCAAAATGTTGAGACTACAATAAATCCAATTACACCATTTGAAAGATGCTTGCCGTAAGATACTTCTATTTGCAATAATCTGAATGACATAAAATGTTAGCCAATATCAGTTGGAACATGTCAAAATTACAAAATTGAAAATTTTGGTCATGATTGCACGTTCTATTGAGGTTACAAAAAATACCTACAAATTGTCAAATTTCACAAAAACTTCTTCATCTAATATGCTTTACGTTGATATAACCAGGTTTTTAAATAACGTTCTAATAGAGTTGAAAAATCAATTTAATTGATTTGAAAAATTGAGTTGAAAAATCAAATCAGAATTAGTGGGATTCAAACCCAAGAACTTCGGCTTAATTATTAGGGTCAATTATGGCCACTAAAACAAATATGGACTAATTTAATAATTAAAAAAAGTAATTGCTTCACTGATAGCTCCCCATGGCCCTTTCATAAGTCACTGAGAATCAAATCCTGATTTCACGACATTTGAAAAATGGCAAAAAGAGGGACAATTTGTGCGGTTTTAGGTTGAGATGGGAAGTTGGTGTCCAAGGGGACCGAAGATACGATAGCTCAAGTGGTTAGAGCAGCGGTGTATTTAGCCGAAGGTCGTGGGTTTGAATTCCACTCGAGACACTAATTTTTCATCCCAACCAAAAATCTTAGATGAAAGAATAATTATTTGGAATAATTAATATGACCAATTATGGCCACTAAATAAATATGGATTAATTATATTTATTTATTTATTTTTTTTGGATACCAGGGACTGGAAGAGTTCCCTCTGAGCACTGCAGCTGAGCTGTACAGCTTATTGTACTTTATCCCTGGCTCCATATTTTGGGGAATGGCTCGCAACAAAATGTGAATTTGAGCCCCCATTGTACCGGTGTTCTTCCATCGAAGAAACTCATTTTTGAAGGGGGTAGGGACCAAATTCAGGGTCGCTGAGATCCGATCCTGCCCCTTCCATTGATGAGTGCTGAGTTAATTTCTTTCAATTGCAGCCACCGGTCCTCTTAGGTGTCAGAAAAAGTCCAGAGGCGACGATGGGGATCGAACCCACGACCGCGGGATCAACTAGCCGAGAGTCTGACACCTTAACCACTCGTCTACCACAGCCCCAATTATATTCATAGTTAAGTAATTAATTGTAAATTTCATTCTGATCTGAAATCCAAAGCCACAGTAGTTAGCAGAACAGGATGATAGCACTAGCAACACTGCAGACTTCACTACCATCTTTCACATTAATTTACACGATTATAAAAATAAAGGGTTTCACTACATTATCGTGATATTTTTATTTAAAATTTTCAGACACTTTGTTCCAACGAAACTTCAATTATTTTAAATATTGGTTTTTTAAAATATTTTTGTTTTTATAAATCAATGTTTAATAAAATATCAAATGACATTAAGTATATTTATGTTCATGCTAGGCTGGCTTCATTAAAATTGGAAAAGAATATTTTTTAATTGAGCCTAAGGAAGGAGGTAACATTCCGTCTGAAGATGAGAGGCAGGAACATGTTTTTTATCGAAATACTAGATCCAATGACCCATTTTTTTCAAATTGTGGAACTTCAGGTAACCATTGAGTGAATATGCGGATGTAGAATATGGAATTAAATTGAGATTGAACTCAGGAAGCAGCAAACAAGCGTGGGCTGAGCGTATGCAATGGGAATTTATACACGGAAGAACAATTGAAAAAACAATGAAAAACAATTTCAACGAAAACAAATCTCACACTTTGTATAAAAAAGATGACAAGTTTACTTCTGAAAATGAAAACTGGTCGAACATATGTCCTCAAGACAATTTACATTGTCCTGCAGACAAGGATCTTTTCATTGAATTGATGGTGGCGGTGGATTTTAGCGTGGACAGGCCGACGAGAGTTTTTGATATGGAGGAATATCTTTTGACTGTCATAAACATGGTAAATGTTTTTAAATTTTAATTTTGTGAAGGCGATCCAGTTTAAATTTTCCCTCAGGTTGCTACAAATTTTCATGATGGAAGCATTGGTCGACCCATTCACATAAAACTTGTCCGAATTATTTATCTGTCATATCCATATGAAGAGGTGAGAATATAATCCTTTAAATATTTTGAAAATTAGTTTTATAACAAATGAAAAGTCATACAATTTTTTTTTTTAATCGTTAGCTTGATGTACAGAAAAATTCACCAGAAAATCTCTTGAAAAAATTCTGTGACTGGCAAATGAATTTTAATCCAAAATTAGAAGAACATCCCAATCATCACGATTTTGCTGTTTTCATAACACAGTATGTTTGTAAATACGATTTTGAACCATTAAAACAATTTTTTAAAAATTTAAGGTTCCAACCCTGTGAAGGTAATATCTTAGGGATCACCAACATTGCAAGCATTTGTCGACCAGATAAAGCTTGTGCTGTTGTAAGTGACGTAGGATTACTTTTAGGCAACATCATTACTCATCAAATTGGCCATAGGTAAACTCAACCATTAACTCAAATTATAACTTAAATTCACATCTGGTAATTGATTAGTCTAGGGGCAGAACATGATGAAGACTCTTCAGATACATGTGCCTCAGAAGAACCTGATGGAACAAAATATCATATGGGTCCTGTGATCAGCACTTCTACCACTGAATGGTCATCGTGCAGCAGGCAACACATAACTCAATTCCTTATGTAAGAAAAAGTACCAACTTAAGAGGTCACGATAGCTCGGGTGGTAGAGCAGCGGCGTATCTAGCCGAAGGTTGTGGGTTCGAATCCCTGTCGTGCCATTAACTTTTTTTCATCTCAACTAAAAACCTTAATTAATTGTAAAGTACCAACTTAAGTTTAACAAGTTTTTAATTTTATTACAACTTACTAGGAACCATGCAAGTTGGTGCTTACAAGATTTTCCAACTGGCCATGACTTTTCAGAACCAACTCTCTTAGCTGGGCAGGTTTATTCTGCTAGTCAGCAGTGCAGCATTAACTTCAACATGAAAACCGTCGCATGTCTCGTTGGTGATGTTGGTATTTTCGGTTTTGTTTTAAAAATTACAAACTGAGAATTATTGTGGATTTTTACAGTTCTGCAAAAAACTCTTCTGCCAAATTTCGAATAATCAGTGTGCAAGTACTGACGATCCTCCATCAATGGGGACACCTTGTGGGCCAAACATGGTATTAAAACTTGACTTTTGGTTCAACCTGCGTAATTAATCTGTGCAATTGTTTTCAGTGGTGTTTCAATGGTAACTGTGTTCAGCGTGGGTCTAGGCCAGGAGCCGTCAATGGAGAATGGGGCTCATGGTCACCATGGTCGCCATGCACCAGGTCTTGTGGAGGTGGAGTGCAATCTACTCACAGGTCTTGCAATAATCCTCCACCCTCTAAAGGAGGCAACTATTGCCCTGGAAAGTGGATCAGACACAGAATGTGTTCCATTAATGTAACCAGATTTATTGAAATTAATAAACACATCCTTGCCATTAATAATTAATTATTTATAGAGGTGTGAAGGTTTTAGTCAAAGATTTGCACAGATTCAATGCAGAATGACTAACGACAGACTTTATAAAGGACACTACTACAGCTGGGATTACTACAGAACTATATTTGAACGTATGAACTAAAACATTTTAAAATTTAGTATTGAGCTGTATATAAAAATAAAGACAAATTTGAAAGAAGAAAAAAAAAACACTCAGTTTTTTTGTCAATCTTTAAAAGAATATTTTCTTCCTTCATAACGCCCGTGAAACTATTTTTAACAATTTATACAAATATAAACATTTACTGACAATTTTTAAAATTGTGGCTTTAATCAAAATAATTTATGAGTTTATCTTAGTAAAATGGACAAGATCTACTACCAATGGACATGTATTTCTTAAAAGCTTGATGAAAAAACTGAGTGTTTATTGCATCTTTTAAATTTACCTTATCCCTGATTTATACACGTGTACAGAATTGAGACTATCACTTCTTGCAATCACTGGAAATTCCAGCTTTGTAGCTTACAGTGAGTTACCGGCGGGCTTTGAGAATCACCATTCCGGGTGTTGGCATTCCGGTGACAGACCACAGTCTTAACCGTCCAGCCACCAAGGTTCCGAGCCAACTAGGTCATTTCAGCTCCCTATGCAGTCAGTTCCTAAATCCAGACCCAATCACACACTCTCTCACCCTTAAATACATTTTTTCTTATTTATTACCTACCCATCCATAACGGTATGTTATACCAGGTTATATAACCATTTACCTTATATTCTTACCATTCACTCATTTCGGGTGAGTTTATTTGATATTCCTCCATCACCCTCTACACAAGTTATAAAACTAACCGAATTGAAGGTTGATAGAGTACTCAATATTCTGCCACACAAAACATTCACGCCAATAAATACATTCACTCTCAATACACTCTAGTGACACAAAACTATCAATAATATGTACAATACCATCATATTTTCTCCAAGAATCAGAATATAGATTATATTTTATACGATACTATACTTGCTGCCATGCTTAAGCACAATTCCCATTCTTCCTACATGCTCTCTATATGGAGCCAAGGAATTGCCCCCTCCAATTAGGTTGCTCACATCAAGCAACTTTTCTCTATTGAGGGTGAGGATGACTGTTCTTCTACGAGTCGGTCAGAGCTTCTCTGCCAATCTGGCCACTGCTACCTTCTTCTTTTAATAATTTATTTATAGCATTTTTAGGGGACCCAGAAAACAACCACCATTTTACCAAGATGCTCCAATTCATGGTATCTCTCCAACAGAGGACCTTTTATCCCAGATTTTTTTATATACACTTATAATATTAAGGCTGATATCAATCACATCAAGATAATGTAGTATTGAGAAGAGTAAATATTTAATTTTTAGAAGCAACTTGTGCACTGATTTGCATCAACGAGTATAAAGAAATTGCAGTGAGATCATCAATTGTAATGGATGGAACGCCGTGTAAAGCTGGCACGAGAGATGTGTGTATTCGAGGAGCGTGTGAGGTAAAATATAGAAATTCTAGTTTTTTTTTGTTTTTTTTTGGTGATGTAATTTTTTTTAAAATAGAAAGTAGGATGTGATTGGGTGATCAATTCAAAAAGCAAGGAAGATGCATGTGGGATTTGCCATGGAAATGGGACTGAATGTAAAATTGTACAAGGATTATTTTCTGGAAGCAACATAACTGGTTAAATCAATTAAATCCTATATACAATATGTTGGATTATTTCATTATTATTTTTTTTTTTTTAGGTCTGCAGCCATTTTTAAAACTTCCTTCTGGTGCAAGTATGATATTTATCCGGGAGCTGAACCATTCACCTTGCTATTTGGTAGTTTCTAATTCAATAACGTCTACATATTATTTAAACGCTTTAGGGTAATTAAATCTTAAAAATATTAAGAGGAAAGATATTTATGTAATAATTTTCTAGGAGTAACGATCATATGCCAGGAAAATTTTTACTGGGAACTACTACTGGAGTGTACGAAGTTAAATCAGACATGGAGAGAATTTTCATAAGAGATCGGCTTAATGAACATATCACATTTAGTGTAATGAACGAACTAGTTACTGAAAACTTTATTATTTCTATTAAAAGGTATATTGTTTTAGGTGAAGTGTTCTTGCTCAAAATTTATATCAGCTCCAATTCAATATCAGTACGCAATGCCTGAGGTAACTCCTAGAATACCAACCTACAACTGGCACTACATTTCATGGCAAGAGTGCTCGCATCCTTGTGGAGGTGGAACACAGGTTAATTTTTTTTTTAAATAAAAAAAAATGGCTTTTGTTAAACAAATGCTACTGCAGAAAGCAATACCGGTTTGTATCGAGGAAATCGCTGGGGAGGTTGAAGACAAATACTGTAATGAGAAGAATCGTCCTGAGGAAAAAGTAAGAACGTGCAACAAATATCCGTGTGTCACAAGGTTAGATCTTAAGATTAGTTATTATAATTCAGTAGATAAGAAACAAATTAATTTCAGATGGTGGATGGGACCATGGTCTAAGTGCAACTATACAGGAGAAGGGTCCTCAACTAGATTGGTATTATGCGCACGTTCACCAAAAAACTCAGATAATTATTTAAAAGTAAGCATAGTTTGAATATGTATTATAATAAAGAAACTTTTTAAAATAAGAAATATTTTAGATCGTCAGAGAAAATGAATGCTCCAAACAAAAACCCAGAACTGAAAAGTCATGTAATGAAGAAAAGGAGATTGAATATTGGTTGAATAGACAACAAAAAACTTCTTTAAATGTAAGAGAATATATGATACCTAGAATTAAGACATGTGAGGTTGATGAGATGATAATCTATTGCTTCTGATTACTGATTTGATATAAGATGAACTCTGTGACCAATCATTTCTATCTATCATTTCTCGCAGCCTGATGGCAATTCCAGCTTTTCCCGAATTTACATTAAATTACTAGCAGTCCTCGAGAAACCCCACCTCGGGTTTTGGCAGTTTTGGAATCAGACCTCAGTCTGTCCAGCCACTGAAGTTGAACTCCAGAGGCAATCAATACTTAGATCATTTTAGCACACAACGCAAGCAGTACCTAAATCTGCACTCTCAACACGACATACAGGAATGACACATCTTCACAGAACACAAACACTTTGAGCCCTGAAGATGATCTCAATAAAGATCGAAACGTTGGCACAATAAAGAAAATGTTTTTCTAAAACCTATTTCACATCAGACTGCATCTCACGATCTCCAAATAATCATTGGCTAACTGTCATAAAACACTGCTATTAATAGTAAAATCCTGCCAGTCATTTTTCCTTTGTAAATTTATTTACAATATTAAATATAGCCACTGTAGTGTTACTAATTTCATAAAATAAAATTAACCTTATTCATTGACACAAAACAAAATATTCATATAATTATGTAGAGTAATTTATTTCTGTGCCTAAATCAATATTATGATGTATGATGTACATATTCACCAATATTACAATTTAAAAATAATTTATTTTTTAGATCTTGCAGAAAACTAAGAACTTCAAAAAGTAATGTAATTTATCATATTATTTCCTTGATACTGTTATATACTTAAAATGATGCCTCTTTTCAGAAATAAAACAAGGCGAGCAAGTTGTCAAGCGTCAATTGAAGGCGCACAGCATGACTTAAGCAATGATTACTTATATGATTTAAATCCATATGTGAAATCAAATGTGAAGAAACTAAATCACATATCAAATATACAATACAAAAAAGAAAACATAGATTTGCAACCGAAAATAGGCAGTAAAACCAAAACCAGTCATGCTGAAACAATAGAATATGGCAATGCACAAAATTACTCAAATACGTGGGACAGTGCAGTACTTAGAGAAGTTATCAATTTAATATCTAACAATTCATTATTCAACGAAATGGTAAAACCAGCAAAGAAAACAGAAAACCAAACTGTAATGCCAAAACAACCAAGGGAGAAATCAAAAGGTGAAGAAAATTGTATAAAAGAAGACATCAAAAGCTCTACAACGCCGAAATACACAAAAGAGGTAGTGACGTGCACCACGATACAAAATTTACCAAAGCCTGTTGATTTCACTAGTAAAATAGAAAGAGGTAATTCGTCCTCGTACAAACTATTACTAGCACCAAAGCAGACAACAAAAAAACCATTCATCCAGACTGACATTGAATATGAATACTTTGGAGATTCAGATTTGCTGACAATGGCTAAAGAAGAAATTCGCAAAATCGTTGGCGAAGAGGTGCAAGAAGAATTGCAGAAAGCTAGAAATGAAGCAACAGAACCACCATTGATTGAAAGTGATGAGAAATAAATGTGGATTAATATAGATTTGTTGTATGTATTAGGATCAATACTGAGGTCTTTTTAATTGTAAAATCAAATTATTACAGTGAAGTCGTACTAGACCAAACACCACTAATCCAAATGTCTGTCTAATCTGAACATTTTTTATATATGAGATTTCCTCCTGTGGAATGTTAGATGATTTTTGTCCTGTTTTTGATTGTTACCTACCATCTTGGACGCCTATCCTTGCTGATTTTATTGATATTTCGTATTTTTATTGGTTTTTAAAAGTATATATTTTGTGATATAATAAGTGTATATTTTGGCTTGGTCTACTACAAACTCTAGTGCCAATTTTTTGCTGCACTTTCATTTTAAAAATTGCACCTAGAACCTGTAGTTGTCCACACCAAACATTTTGGGCTGCATTTTTCCATAATCATAAAATTCATGATTATTGTAATAAATGTGATTCATGTGTATATCACCAGCTCCAGTGGGTTTGCCAGCTATTCTAATGCTTTTGCATTATTAGAATAAACCGAATTTTCAGTCTAGTATATTTCATCTTGCTATCAAGCTTACTACTATCTATGTAGACTTTATCAGGAACATTAATTTTAGTAATAATAATAAAAATTAAGGCACTTTATTTGTTATAATCCAATTATGTTCAATTAAATTACAGCTACTAAATAAGGTCTTTTATGGTATGGAAAATTCTGCCTGCTGGAGGTGATTAAAAACATAAATAGGGTTACAAAAGTGCTCAATAATACAAAATTTAAATAAAAAAAAGACTCCCAAAGAACTTAAATTAAAGAAAAATAAAAAAAAGAGAAAAAACCATAGCCTAAAAATGTGAATAAATAAACTAAGAACAATAATAAATAAAAAATTGAAATTAAATTGTACTAACATTAACATTTCATTGACCTAAAAATATCTGTACTGCCATGCATATCTACAAAATCCTACAAGTGAAGTTGGCTCATAGTTTAACTTGTTGATTAATTGGTCTTGGGAAAAGGAACTGCAGCTAAGTGGAGCATGTGGATTTCATGTAAGATTGTACATTGTGCAATGAAATGGAACGTATCCTCTCTGATCTTAGAGTTACATAAAGTCCCCAATGCAGAGGGCCCCTCCCCCAGGGGGTGTAATTCAGCCAAAGCAGTTGACACCTATTTGTGTACTGATTTGACTCAGACAGGAGGTCACAATGATCAAGATCAATTATAACAAAAAGCTAGTGGATGCCAGAGCCTCCAGATACCTCAGGATGAAAAGAACTCATTGTTGTAAGGAGAGACATTGATGTTTTAAACATATAAGTTTACAATGTCATAATATTTAAAGTAAAAAGAGTGTTTACATGTAGGAGTCCAAAAGTCCAAAACTAAAAACTGTGGTATACATTTAATGTAACCTTTTGTATATCAACATATAAAATTCGACTTGTAGACACCGCAGTCATGGGTTTGGTTCCAACCATCACCTTGGGCTTTTTTTTCATGCTACCCTTCCCCCAACTGCATATACAGGATGAAACAAATGCTGTACTCTGGCTAATATGCAAATTCATAAAGTTAAAAAATTAAATTCTTTTATTAATTCATATATGTTTAGGTGTAACTTTTTTATCTCAACCAAAACCTTAGATAAAATGAATAATTAATTGACATTAAATAGTTTTAAGCGATGAATAAACCTTAGCTAAAAGCAATGGATATCAAGAAATATTTATCGATAGGTTGCTAATAAAAAGAATAACAAAATTAACTTTTAAAGAAACAACAATTGAACTCAGCCACCCCAACAAAATGAAACAGGTTTTTGTTGTATGCCATACATGGGGTAACTATCAGAAAAATTAGGTAAAATTTTGTGCAACGTGTCCTACGAGCCTAATTGCTTTTCCTATCGATTCAGCAGGTCGATTTACATCGAAAAAGACAAAATTTTTCGATTTTTTTGGTTTATTGCATTTTTCTCAAAAACAACGTGTCCTACGAGCCTAATTCCTTTTCCAATCGACTCAGCAGGTCGATTTACATAAAAAAGGCAATAACTTTTTTCGATTTTTTTTGGTTTTTTGTATTATTCTCGAAAACAACATGTCCTACGAGCCTAATTCCGTTTCTAATCGACTCAACAGGTTCGATTTACATAAAAAAGAATAATTTTTTCGATTTTTATTTTTCTTCCATTATTCTCGAAAACAACATGTCCTACGAGCCTANAAAAAAAAAAAAAAAAAAAAAAAAAAAAAAAAAAAAAAAAAAAAAAAAAAAAAAAAAATTTTCGATTTTATGTTTTTTGCATTATTCCCGAAAACAACGTGTCCTTCGAGACTAATTCCTTTTCCATTTGAACCAGCAGGTCGATTTACATCAAAAAGGCAATACATTTTTTTTTCGATTTTTTTGGGTTCTTTACGTTTTATTGAAAACAACGTGTCCTACGCGCCTAATTCCTTTTCCAATCGACTCAGCAAGTCCTGTTTGACTTGTGCCAATATGTTTACTACACGAAATTTTTTGAAATAAAAATTTTCTGGACTACACAATGTTAAAAACCATTAATTTCTTCATCATTGTTTATCTGTTTGAGAATCGCTGTTTTCCCATGATATTTTCAATTTATTTATTGTGATACCTCTTTCATTCATTTGTGTTTTTTTCTAAAGGCAATTCCCGTTAAAAACAATACAAGTACTTGCAAGAAGGTTCAGGTTAGTGTTCATTTGTATGATTTCATCTCTTCACATTATCCCTATTTGCTTTGATTCTTTGAAATACCTGGCGCTAAAAGGAAGGTCAATTACATAATATTGTGAGTCAAGTTTTCGGCTGATTTTTTTATTGTTTTTATAGTGGCTGTTTTTCCCCCTCAGTGGATGTAGCAAGGATTCGAATGGGTGTATTTGACCAGCAGGTCAACAGATGGCGATCGCTGTCTACTTCAAAATATTTCTTACACATTTTCAATTATATTTGTTTTGTGCATTTACTTCGACACATTTACACATTGCCAATATGTTTACGAGACGAAGTTTTTTCAAATAAAAATTTTCTGTACTACAAAACGTACCAAACCATTAATTTCTTCATCATTGTTTATCTGTTTGAGAATCGCTGTTTTTCCCATGATATTTTCAATTTATTTATTGTGATACTTCTTTCATTTATTTGTAAGTTATATTTTTTCTAATGGCAATTCCCGTTAAAAACAATACAAAGAAGGTTCAGGTTAGTGTTCATTTGTGTAAGATTTTATCTCCTCACATTATTGCCATTTCCTTCTATTCTTTGAAAAACCTGGTGATAAAAGGAAGGAAAATTATATAATATTAAGAATCAAGTTTTCGGCTGAAGTTTTTTATAGTAGATGATTAGGACGAGCAGGGGTGTTTTTGAGCAGTACGACAACAGATGGCGGTTGTTGTCTGTCTACTAAAAAATATTTCCGAAAGAAGTGTATATTTTAATTATAATTATTAGATTTGCATTAGCAAAAGGACACCTTGAAAAATAAATATATGGATGTTTCTCCTTTCAAATCTGTTAATATCAAATTCTTAAATAGTTAGAATTTAGCGCCAAACGGTTTATAATTTTGAGAGACGCCGACTTTCCACGTGATTTTTATTTCGTTTAGTATGATACATTTAAATTTATTTATAAGCTAACATTTCTTTCTAATTACAACTGATATTACTGTTGAAAAAATAGAATATCCTGTAGTGATTGATCTTTGACATTCAAAAAGGTATATGATTATATATTATGTTGTATAGATTATATGTAAGTATATTCTATACGGGGTTCATAAATTATCCAGTCTTGTATTTGCTCCTTCAAAAACTGAATTCAATTCTTCATACAACATTTTCTTCCAAAATGAACTAATTTAATTGGTTGTGTTGTTTTAACATATGCAGGCAATAAGTCCTTAGGATATTTTCTGTCAGTTGTTTTAGACGATGTAAGTGAAACATGTGACATGGAGTGAACTTCGTTTTACGTAAACTACAAAAAAGAAAAATAAATTCTTCTAGTGCTGCGTTTAAAATAAACGGGTCACCATTTCATAAATAAAAGAAAATCGATTTAGTATGCACATAATATAAAATTAATTATAGGATCGATTTTGATCTATTAGCGTTGATCTGAACTGATCCTGTAATATTGGACAATTATGTTGTCGAATGGGCCCGTGTCTTGAGCTTCGCACCTGCCATGAGCTTGATTTATTGATGTCACAAGAGCTGGTGAGAACCGAAACTGTTTACTCCTGTTTATAAATAAATCCCGACATTGGAAGAAAACAGGCTAATTATAAATTTTACATAATACTTTCTGTGATCTTGATTGATTGACGAGAAAAACGAGAAGAAATCTCATTAGCATAATGCATAATATGTTTGAAGTGTACGGTTATTGACTGTTGCATTAATTTTCGATGAGAGCAATATTTTTTTATATTTAAAATGGACTAGGCATAATATTTCGATTTAGTAAAATAAAATACGGACGGGTATTCTAAATTACAGGAAATCAATTGGTTTTAAATTTTTTAAATTTATTTTTGAAAAATTGACTGAAAAAATAACTCCATATATATTGATTAAACACTGAGGAAAGATTAGTTAAGGTGTTTTTTCGTCAGTTTCGTTTCAAATTACCTACTTTCACAAGATGTTTTACAAATTTAAAATGGAGAAAATATCATACACAGAGCTTTTCTACTTGGTTCTTCCTGGAACTAGCTTGTTTGATATGTTGGCTATATTAGATTTTACAACCCTTCTATTTCTGATTCTATGTATCGTATACTCCAAGATTCCAAATATATTCATTTCAGCATTCTGTTCAGAACTTTAAAAAGCTAAAAAGGACCCATGGTCGTTGCTTTCTTTGCCAATAATTACCACCTATGTTTTGTTTTAATATGTATACTTTGGTTACGACATTATAATAAATATAGTAAATTTGTCGCTTGGAATCCGTTAGTGGAATTTAGTTAAAGAACTAAAATAA